CTGTATTTGCCAATCTGCTTGGGATCAGAGTGGCGTTATTGATGGAAAGGCTTGTAAATAATGTCTAATTGCTTGGCCAGTTCTCGGGGGAAACGGTTTTGCTTCACCAGGAAAAGGAAGTGAAGTGAATGTTTAATAGCAGTTTAATGGGTGAGAACTTGGTTTTCATTTGAAATATATTTAATTCTATGAATTTTGATAGGAAAATATTTTTAGTTAAATGTTAAATTCAGGTTAATTGCTTTACATTTTCATTATGTTACTTTAAATTAAAGACAAATGTATTTATTTAATTTTTTCCTTTCTGCATTAAAGGTTTTCTCTTTATTTCTATTAAAAATCCCAGCCTGATTGGCAAAACTCTTAAATATATATTTTTTTATATCCATTTTCTTTGTGTCCCCATTCACAAAAAAAGAAGCACTTTGTATCCTCGCATTTTACGAGTCTATCGAACCCTGCGCTATCTCAACCGAAGCCCACCGCTGCTGCTCCCAATAGATTTATTGCCTGGCGCGGCACTGTAGGTACATATATCTATGTGTCTTACTACCTATATCTCCTCTGTCAGGTCCAATCAATTGATGGAAAATTGTTCTAGTCTGAGCCAAAGTCTCAATTGTAAAACGGCGTGGAAAAGCAAATACATTTATGCGCGGCAGGCATTTTGTGAGCTTCCTCCTTCTTATGACTTGTAGAAACTATACTGTATAGGGGGTATCAACCACCCACTGACCCCGTTGTTGTAAATCTCTGGCTGGCTTTATCTTGAGCTCTGAGGCTATATAGAAACAAACTGCGGCAGTCAGCAGAAACTATGCCAAGGCAAGTGAATTCCGCCAGCTTTCTTGGCTCTTTTTTCGTGGTGTATTATTATATTCGTGGATTCTGGCCAGATTAGCCGGAGATAAAGGCAGGGGAGGCAGCCAAGACTGCTACGCCGATGCGGAAGCCCCATTATTTGCTTGGGTAATTAGCGTAAATTGGAGTAACATAAGCTGGCTGAAAAGCTTCGAGTGAATGGTGGACACAAAGTAATTGTATTAAGTAGCAAATTGAATAATGAAATGAAATAACCAATTAAGAGGCCCCAGGAAGTGGCCAAAACAAAACGAAACCGAGCTGAGAACCGCAAACAAGCTCAAATGACAGCATCATTGACTAAAAACGTATTTAAATAGTGGAGTATAGTAAGCCAGTTACCGGTTTTGGATAGTCGCAGGCGACAAAAGTTCTGTTGCCAAATATTGAGCCAAGAAGCCGAAAGCAAAAGCCGCGTCGAGCCAAGTTAAGTTAAGGTGTTGCCAAGCCAAGTAGGATGTGGCCCCCGATGTGATATGTTATGTTTGTGTTATGAATTTCTGAATCAGAACCAGTTCGGCAAGTTGCTCGCTAACGCAGCAAAAAACTACGGGACGGGGCAAACAAAGGCTTAGATACAAATGCAAAGATACATATCCGACAGACGCAGACACGGCCACAGTCACAGAAAAAGATACAGATACCGATACCGATGGAGATGGAGATCCAGACGGAGCGCGAGCGAGACAACAGCGTGTTGATTTCAATTGTTGACCGTAAAATGGGCTCGAGAAAAGGTGTCAAACCAACCTTGCCGCCGTTTTATGCCTGAAATTCATATAAAACTTAAATTTAAATAAAGAGAAATACCATAAAACGAATCACCATAAAATGCGAAACGTGCCCCAAACTAAGCTTATGAATAGCACCCAGAAAGAGCTTGGGAAAAAGAGCAGAAACAGACGGCGGTGGGGAAAAAATTAGTGCGTGCCTGCAAATGGTTTGCCATGAGATTGTGCCCCATGGAATTGCGAAGAGTCAACAACTACAGTGGCACAGGGCTGCGGCTACAGTGTGCCCTCCGTATCTCCATCACATCGCTGCTGCTGCTGGTGCTGCTGCTGGTGCTGCCTCAAGGAATTTATGATATGAGCCCAAATGAGATATGGTTATGGCTGATGTGTTTGCGTTGTCAACTCAACTCGACTCGAAGGCCCGAATAGGCAGACAGTTGGGTAAGTTAAGATATGCCACTGGGATAGCGCCACCACCTACGGGCAACCTCCTGCCCCCCAGCCGTAGCCGTATGCGAATGCGTATGCAAATGCCAGAGCTTATGTGGAGCAGAGCAACCCTGGCTGCGGGTTTATTTATTTGCCAGCGACACGAGAAGTCAGTACTGGAGCACCCACACCCCCGACTGTGTTTTTAGAACCTATTTTTTTCGGTTTTTGTTGATTTCCTGTGGTTCTGTTGACAGCCGAAATTTTTGTGGTAATGCTTCCTTTGCTCTATATGTAGATACATACATCCGAGTTGAGCGTAAGCCGGTGGCTCCATTTAATCCATTTGCCTGTCCACTGCTGAGTTTGTGCTTTTCATTCACCATTCATTACGGAAATTAAATAATTCGGAAGGATGTCTTTCTCGGGCTTCTCTTACTTTGTTTAAGTTGATAAATATGCAAATTAAATAACTACAAAAATGCTCTAAAGTTGGTTGTGGAGTATAATCTAATTTGGTTATTTTTTGAATGAAAATCGTTTAGTTTGCAGATTGCTTATTTATTTGTTATTTATTTATTAAAGCGAAGTCTAGACTTAATATATATTATAAGCTTTTAACTGCCTATTTGCGGGTGCTTAATAATTTAGTTTTCTATTTTTTTTAGAGGCATAAAATATGCAAATAGTATTTATTTGCTTTTAAGATCTTATATATTATTTACCTTCTTCTTTAGGGTTTTACTAAGTAGGAAGTAAATGTCCAAAAATATTATGTTTAATTAATTTCCCTTTGCTTAGACTTCAATTAAAAGTATCTTTTGTGGTCCCTAAACTCATGTAAAACTCATTTAGCGACACCTGTTTTTGTTCTAATTTAATTTGAGTTTAAACTGAATTCCTGTTATCCTTTTGGCCAGCGTGTTCGCAGTCTTCATTCATTATGCAAATCAAATAATTTCATACATGTGTAGCCATGTTTTCTAGGGAAAAAACACGCACACCTTTTCGGACGCATGCGCACCTTTCTGCTTCCGTATCCGGTTTTTTTTGGCGGCAGCACGTGCGTGAAAATTGCGCCAGTCTGCTGAGGAGGGTTAGGAAGGGGTGTGGGTAAACCCAAAGCCATTATGATTGTTGTGGCAACAGCCGTAATTAAAATGCTAGAAATTACAGGCCCAGCCACGTCTTCGGTGTCGCCGTTTTTGTGCAGAGTTTTCTTTATGGCAATCGGCGCTAAGGTTGCATAATTCCAGGGTTGAAGAAGAGTTCTCCTCCTCCCCCGCTTGGAGTTTTTGCTCGGTTTTATTTGCTTTTTTAAGCGAATGTTTGTGCAATGAACCATCAGCATTTCACCGACTGCTGGCAACTGGCGGCTGGCGGTGGAATTCATTAATAATTTCCAGCGAACAAATGCGGCCCTAATCTTATCAGAAATGCGTTTTCCGCGGGGTGATTCGTTTCGATTCGATTCCTCCCATCTGCCATTACTCATTGAGCCATTACGGTTGCGAAATGGCCGCGGAATCGAAGTCGGTGGCAATTTCAGCCACCGAGCTAGCTACCCTACCAATAGCATTCCCAGGCACCATTCACCATCCAGTTCCACTTCCATTCCCATTGGGATTATTAATTGAATCAATGACAAACCGAAATTCAATAAACAATAACCAGGGGTGCTCTTATCGATGGGGCGCCATGTGGCGTATGCGCAATATTATTACGCATACGCGCGATCCCAGAAAGTTGTGCAAGTCAACAGCAGCGGAGGAGTGGAAGTGGAAACGGTTACCGAAATCAGCACGTCAATTCCTTTCCGCAAGAAGTCCAAAGTAACATGCAATATAGCTCAGCAATCGCCATCGTTATCGCCACGGTTATCAGTCCAGCAGATAGGCATCGATGACACTGATAATTGACGGAATCATTGAGCAATTGACAAGTTCATTTTGGGTTCTGAGCAAATAAACACAACAAAACTCTTCTGGCGGCGCCTACAGCTGCTCAAATTAACATATTTGTAGTCGACTTTGGAGGGAAAAGTGGCATATGCCACCAAAGAGATAATTACAGTCAGGCTTCCCCGAGTGGAACCAGTATCTGTCTCGTAAAAGATAAGAGTTACGGGCAGTTTAAATTACGAGCAAATACTAATCATTCATGTATTATAATTATCATTTTAAATGTTTTCTCAGCGAGTCAGGAACAGATTCTGTCACAATGCTTAGAGAGCTCTGTTTTATTTACTATTTGTTTTACAAGGGTAATTTTTATTTTTTGCTTCTTAAAATCATAACTTTAAATTGCTATTTCGAGTGAGACTTAGGGAAGTCATTTAAGGCTAGTGCTACAAACTTAATTTATGTACTAGACAAATTAGAAAAACTTTGTAGTGGATTATGTGTTTTTTACTAGACTTGAGTGTATTTTTACGTTATAAAAACAAGTTTCCGTTAAAACATTTTATTTGTTTACCTTAAAAATATGCTAATTTGGTTGGTTAAACGTTTTTATTAGGTAAACAAGTGTTACGGCTACAAAGTTAAATTAAGAAACTGAAAAAAAGATACTTTCGACTGTTAAGAGTTAATTGATTTCAACTAATTTATTAACCCTTAAAATATATAAAATTTCGTGATACTATGTTGTATCAAAAACCTAAATATCAATAGTTTCTTTATGTTTCAGAATGCAGGTTTTGTAATAATTCGTTAAAACGAACTCAGTTATTATGTGTGTGTAAATATAACCTAGTTTATAAACTGTTTCTAACTCTTCAAAATATGAATTTTAAAAGTTCGACCCCTAGAATTGGTACTGTATTGGTAGTGAAAACTAACGATGAGGGGACACTGCGAGATAATTATATGTAAATGGATTTTTGTCGCCTGTTGTCTTATCGGTGGTTCAAAGGGTGGAACTCATTAAGTCTGACCGAAAGTCATTGAACTTGGGCGATAGGAGAATGGAACTCACTCTTGCTCTTCCGCTGGGCGGGTTTCCTCCTCCTATTTGTCTCTCTTCCGCCGGAAAATCACGACTTGCTGTGCACTTTTTCGTACGCCTTTTGGGCCTGGACCCGAAACACTAACACACAAACTCGAGCCGGGCAGCAGGTGTGTGTGGGTTTGTTTTTGCTTTGGCTTCGGCTTCTGCTTTGTTTGTTGTTTGTCGTTGCGTTCGCTTTTGTTTGTTTTGCAGTCTGCCGTCTGCCTTTGCCTTTCGCTGCACTTTTCTGCACTCTTTTTGCAGCTGTCAACGCACAAAACGCGCTAAATTATGCCGCACACATGCTCGTATTTTTCATTTTTTCCCTTCCAACCGTAGCTGCACACCTCACACACTCACAGCACACTCCGCTCCAGCTCCAGCGCATTCGAAAACAACAACAGACGAAGACGAAAGCCGGGCGCTATTAGCTATAGACGCAGAACGTATGGAAACGCCAGCGAACCGAACGCGGCAAAGTCTCGTTATAAACTGAGGGCGAAATTCGAAGTTGTGCGCCAATATAGCAGAGTATTAGTAGCCAGTATAAGGCGCACTCTCACAGTATAATTATAAGTATAAGACGCTCGTATAAGTCCGTTATCTCGATTTTCGATACTGCAACATAAATTTGTAATTTTTGTCAATGTGTTTAAGATATATTTTGTTAGGAATTAAAAAATAATAGACATTTTTATTTACAGTTGTTAAAATATGCAATACAAAAAAATATCCATTTGTTGTTTGTATGTATATAATTAAAAAATTAATAAAAACTATTCTTAAATTCACATTAAAAAATATATTATACCTAAACAATATATATACTTAAATGTTTGGTCTCAGAAAATAATTGTATTTCTTATTGATCTAAGAAAATAAAATTCATAACTTTAATACATTTTTCAGAAGTTTAAAACAAGTTGGGTGTCAATAATTTTGGTAAATTTAAGCACTATACACTTTTTTTGTCTAAATACTAAAAAAAATATACATATATGAAAAAAATTTGTGAAAAATGTTAATATAGTTAATTATATATTTTTGTTATATTATTATTATTTATTATATATTTTCTTCTGCAACACAAACTTCGTACTCTTATACAGACCTCACTCTCTTACAGACAGCACTCTTATAATGTTCCCTTGAATTCGCCGCAACAGCTGATTGCAGCAACAGAGGTAAGTTGCCGGCAATCCACTATGGAACGAACGACCTTTTCTGGCCAAAACTCATTTTTAAAAGTTGTTAAAATGTTTCATTAACCGAAATGTATTCTAATAACATTAATCTGAAATATTAAAAATTTTAAATGCCAAACAAATTTAAATAATCTAAATTAAGTCCACTTTTTTTGATGCAGTCTCATTTATAGTGTTTCCTAATATCTGTTTGTGAACCTTGAATGCAGAAATATAATATGGTGTCCCTATAATCATGTATAATTTGTAACCTTTATAACTTATATAAAATTTAAGTGCATTGAGTTACAAAGTAAGTCCAGCTCTATCTAACTCTAGAAATTCATATATGTATATTGTAGAGTTAGTTAAAAAAAAAAAGGAAAGACCACGCCCATTATCATTAAAATATTGGTTATAATAAACTTGATTTAATAAAAAGCACCTAAGAATATTAATTCGTCTTAAAGCTATTAATTAATGTCACAAAAAGTGGTCGTTAGCCCCATAGTGCAACCGAAAGAGTGAGACCGTAAAAAATGCATATGCCGTAGAAGAGTCCTTAGAGCAGCATATAAGACGGCAGCTGTGGCCAAAAAGCAATAACGTTTTAGCCAAGTTTAATAACCCTACAGCTCATTAGCAGGCTACAAAACGGAGAAGAATTCTAGCCCCTGTTTGTGCAATATATCCTCTCTTTGTCCTTGTTCTTCCTTTCTTCCCCCAAAACATTATTAAATCATTTAGCCAAAAACTTATTCAAAATTCACAATACCGACATGCTCAAATGCACACAATTCGTGGCTAACAAAAAAGAGAAGAGGGGAGTTGGTTGGTAGAGAAGCAAAGGGGGTGAGTGGGAGGCGTTCGCAGGACCCTTGCATTGTTGTTAACAATCCATCATTATCGCATAGACTTCCGGCGAAGAAGGAAACGCGGGGAGTGCCAACATTGCATTACACTTTTGTGGCTGCACTGGGAGAAAATTGGTAAAGGTTTGGTGGGAATAAGAATAAGATAACTAAGATATAATAGAATTTTTCCTCTAAAGATTCAAGCTATTTAAAATCTCAGCTTAATTTATAATTAAAATTCATAATGAAACATAAAAAAATATTTATAAATAAATTAATAGATTATTAAATATTGAAAAAATCTACTTCACTTTTTTTACAGATTCCCAAGAATTATCTTGAGTTGTTAAATAAAAAAAACAACTGTTATTAAAGAGATCTATGTTAATACCATTTCTGAAGAGTCCTTTTCTTATTAAATCTATAGAAATACATAATTATTTTAATAAATATAATTAACAATCATATTCAAAAATCATTAAAAAAAACTTTACAAAATATTTTCATATTTCTTCTTCTCCAATTTCTATAAAATGAAGATAAATCTTATAAAAAATGCATATTTTGCTCACTGTTCAGTATTTTAGTCTGGCGCTCTCCTTGGATCGTCCTTCTTGGGTCTGCAACGCCCAGGACCCACACACACACACACTCTCTTTACACTCGACACAACCAGACACACAAATTGCCGGGTTGTGCCCAGTGTGTGTGTGTGTTTGGGTGCACGTGTCTGGCAGCCTTCGCTGGGGATTACGGTCGAGGCGCGTCGCGTCGCTCGACGTAGTCGTTCAGTGAAAGTGAGCCGCCAGCAGGATCCAGCAGGACTCAGTCAGTTGGTCGTCGTCTGGTCTGGCCGGCACCAAACCCTGCAGGAATCCACCGTCAGTCCCGCCCGTCCTCTTGAAAATGTTGCATTTGCCAGCAGTTTTCTATAATTTGTGTTGTGCTGTTGGCCTTCTTTGGGGGTGGCTTAACGGCTTTCTTTTTTTTTTTTTTTGTGGCGGCTGCGGTTTATGCAAATTAGCAAAGTTAACATTTGCCAAATTGTCGAAAAATTTCATTTGGCCAACTAATCCTTGCAAAGGTTTGTTTGTTTGCCTTGGCAGGGCAGCAAAAATGTAGCCATATCAGTTGTCATAATGTGTTTATTTTAAATTAAAATAATCTTAATTGTATTCCATAATATTCCCTTTAATTTAATATTAAGAATCATTTAATTATACTTATATATCATTATCATTTAATTATACTTATATTATAATTTTAGTCAAAAGTTTGCAACGCTGCAAGGGAGACATTTCCGACTCCATAAACCATATATTTTCTTGGCTATCATCAATGGGTGAATCCTTCTAGCTTTGCTATTTCCAAAGTTTTATAAGGGTTTAAATATAATAATTTAATATAAATTTCCAATAACTTTGCAATTATTTTGTATCATCTATGAATATCATAGTAAATCCATAAGTGAAAAGAGCTAAGCATGAGGAAATGGGAAATGCAAAATATGGTGAAAAACCCAGAAGAGAGCTGTGAAATCAAAGCATTTTCGGATTCTTTTGATCAGCAATGTGTTAGGATATAGACGTAAAGCCCCTCCAAGTTGGTTCCTCCTGCCCTTACTCCCAATTCCGCCCGGAGTTCCCCACTATATTTTCCTGACTTTATTAAGGCAGATCTTCGGTTGTCACCCGGCCAAGTGACAGAATGCACCTGCACGAGAGACTTTTCCGAAGGGGAAAAGTGGTGGAAGAAGGAGGAACAGGGAGCCGGGAAAACCGTGACGAAGAGCCATGACTGCAGAGGAGCTATCTATCATAATTAGATTTCGTTCTGTGCTGAAATGTCGTAACGGGAACGAGATGCGTGCGCATAAATTAAGTGCGGAGTTGTGGCGGACCGACCGCATTTCCCTCCCACTGACACAGCAGCAAATAGAGCGCCTAATAGGATTTTATTTAATTTCCGTCGCCCAAGGATTTTGCTAATGAGTTTTTTAACCTGCCCCGAGGAGGATGAGGCTGCCCAGCGGAGTCGTAGAGGGGGTCAAACAGCGCCCAAGTGAGCCATCTGAATATTTGAATAGGAATGGAGTCTCATGCTGGAATCAGGTGGAGTTACTGTCGGAGCAGCATAAACACCGGAGATGACGGCGACTGCTGTTTGATAAACATACACAGTTCACTGAAAGGATGTCGGGTTCGTCCTTTGTCTGTTTGCTAGGATACAGCCACTCTGCTCCCGTCCTTTGTTGGTGAAGCTGCTGCTGCTGCTGCTGCCAAGGAGTTTAGCGAACTTGGGCTAGGGATTTTCTTTGTGTCTGATTCGCCTCAGACTCCGAGCAAGGGGAAAACAATGGATTCAGCCAAGTGAATTGCCCTGGGAAACGCACTTTTGCTCTGCATTTTTCGGTGTGAAATTTATGCTGCACTCGGCTAATTTAATGCTATTTTATATTTCCATTTTTATGCTTTTCCGCAACACACAACAAGTGGAAGGGGCACCATTAACTGCAAGTGCAATTGATATGATTTGTGTGGCGATTTGCATAAATTAGCATACAATGCGTGGCCTGGCACTTAACCATAATTAGATGTATGTATGTGCACTTGTGCCGCCACCGTTTGTTCAGGTAATTAAATGCATTCCCAGCTTAGAGTTTTTCCCACTTGAAAACTATACAATGTGTTGTAGGAAACTGTAACCAAACAAGGCAAAGAAAATAGTAATTATGTACAAAAGTAACAAGAAAAAGGAGTGTTTGAAATGGATTTAATGAGCTGGAATCAGAAAATAACTAAACAGACTGGAAATAAACCGAAATAAATGGCTTTTTAACAAGTATTTTCATTAAATAGGGATTATTATTCAATACTATTCATAGATAATTCAACTGCAAACATGCTTCATGTATCCAATTATTTATTAGAATTAATTAAATCAAATCCCATAAAAACACACTCAATCCATTTCAATAAATTTTTCTTTGATACAGGCTGAATTAAAATCGATACACAATGATTTCAATTGAATACAGTATATATAACCCGCAGCAAAAAAAAACCTCCAATTGCTAAAAACATTATTCAATGGCCAACGGATTAAATTAAATAAATGGCCTCTAACAAGCCACAAACTTTTTGCGGCCAGAATGGACACATTTTTGGCCCAAAACTAAACAGCAACCATAACTGGCTTTTAAGTCTCGTCTGGATGAGTTGTTGTTGTTGTCCCGGAAAAAGAGTGCTCCACCCCATCCCAGGATAACTGCGCAGTAAATTGAATCAGTGCCCCGGCACTCCAGCAAACGTTGAATCCTTTCGCTCATATTTGAATATTTTACATTCTTCCGGGGCACTTGAATCACCCCACCGAGGGGGGACATAACTACGAGTAGACGGGATGATTATGAATTCATTTATAATAATTTAGTTTGAGTTATGCGTGGAACACTGAAACCCACTCAGCCTGGAATCCCATAATGAGCATATTCTATTAGGCGGGAGGCGTACTGCGTTGCTACCCTTAAGATACCGGGGGTTGGAAATTAACAAAGCACAAATCCTGGACACATGTTGCATTCAAATGTCCTTTGGCGGAGTCTGGGTAATGCCGTGTTGTGACAAACCCCAAATCACCCGGGCTGACGGAACCCGGAATCCCTTTGAAGCCGATAAACATTTGCACCCGCAACCACCAAAAGCGACAACAACAGCGAGTCCTCGAGTGGGGGGCAGCGACTGCATCGCCATCATCATCATCCGACAGTCGGAGAGACAGCCAGGAAGGCAGACAGACAGGCGGGCAGGCCAAAGGATACGCCAGGAAGTTGTTTGGACGGGCATCAAAAAGCTTTGCCAAACTCCCCATCTGCATTTTCCGTTTTCCCTGGCTTTCCCTTTTTTTCGGGCGGATTGATAACTGACACGCAGTAGCAACCGAAGGGAGATGGATGTATTTGTTTAGCATAATGGATCTCAGCTACTCCGTGTTCGTATAATTGAAAATCGAATCAAATCGCGTGAAATTTAATCAAGTTAAGAACTCTGGAAAGTCGAGAGCTTCGGCAAGCCCAACTCCAATCGGATCGGGTTTAGAGTCAACTCCCTAGACGATGGGCTGGCGAGGAAATGGAAAAATTAGCACAAATCCATGTGATAAACTGGCTACTATTTGCTTTGAATTGAGTTACTCCACATAAACCCCAAACTCCACGAAAAAGGATGGCGGGGGTGAGGCCACTAAGCGCACAGGAAGCCCATTGGAGCGGATGCCACAGCCCAGGCCAGCTGGACTCTAATGCACGATTAATGCCCATTCCCAGACGCATGTACGATGTGCATTTCCTAGAAAATACAGTGAAACTCCCTACACTAAGATGGAATAATTGAAGTACCTTTTAGTAAACTTTTCGAAGTCCCACTGTGACTGTTGGGATGGCCACGATGTCGTGGGCGAATGTCGATGGCATGTCCATTTCGAGAAATTAAGCCCTGTAAGCGGCTTTCATGCGACTTTGCCTCTGACTCGCTGGCATTTCCTCGCCCATCTGGCCACTTGGGCCCGGACCCGCTCCCTGGCCATGTGGAGCTATGCCCGCTACCGGAGTCACTTTCATTGACAACGACCCTTTATTTGATACCATCAAAGTCATTGTTCATATAATTCTGTAAGCAGATTTGCCATTTCCTCACTTGCTGGAACGACGCCTGTTTTTGCCCAGGATGTCCAGGTGTTTGCTACGGGTGATTTCCCGAGCCTCCCGCTGGCTGTACTCGAACAGCTCCTTCTCCAGAAGCTCGATTTCGGCTACCATGGCGGTCGGCGAAAGTTCCTTCAGTTCTAAGAGGCAAGTTTTACGATATTTATGAACCCATCACCTCTGGGATTTGCGCTCACCATTCATTATACGCAGCTCCATCTCGCTAAACTTCTCCTGGCCACCTGTCCCCTCCTGCATCTCCTTCTCATCCATCTCAACAATCATGGAGTCGACTTCTTCGCGATCCTGCTCCGTCTCCTCTTCGGTTTCCTCGTTGGAACTGCCGGCATTATCCAACTTCTCCATTTCCGGTAGGTCATTCGTGGACTCCGCGTCCGCGTTGGGACTCTGACCCTTCTTAATGGATTTCTGAATATTTTTCATGATGCTGCAAAGTTTCCAAGTGCTCGACTTTCTCGTTCTGCTTTTCTAAAACACAGAGTCGCATTTGAAGTGAGTTACAACTGCGTTGCCAGACTGAAATTACCTAATTGACCCATTCAACTCGCTAATAGAAAATGAGTAAACAGAAGCGACCCAAACATTAACTTTTATATAGCTCAAAACTTGCTGGAACGACAGGTTTTAGATCCATATTTTAAAGCCACCCCGGCGAAAGTTTCCTCGCAGCCTAATGAGCTGTACAAAATTAATTGTCACCGCAGGAGGGTTGTCGTCTTCACGACGAGTGCGTATTATGCAAATTTCCAGCGATTGCCAGGGTTGCAGCCAAGGTCAGCGGTGGAAGCCCTGCAAGAACGGGGGACGACTGCCCATTAGAAAGCGTTTTCAAAGGACTCGGCTTCTTGTAAACAATCCATCAGCAGGCATTTCTCCATCCTCCCAAGTCACCTCACCCGGCTGGGGCGGAGATAGAAACTCTTTTAAGGGGGGTTACCAGTCCAAGATTGTGACTTCTCCCCTTGGTTGCGCCACTGCTTCCCTTCTCTTGGGCGCACGTGTCCCATTGCCTGGGTGGCGGCTCAACAGCCAAAGGACATGTCCGTGGAATATGTGTCGTGATGGAAACAAAGGGACGCGTGCCCATTATTCCCCTCTGTGTCCATGTGTTCTCCATTCCATTCCGTTCTGTCTGTTTTTGTAGCCGCTGCTTTATGGACAAAGTTTTTGGGCAAAGTATCGCTTTTATACGGCGCGTCTCATGCAAATTGAACAAGTTAAACTTTAGAGGGGTCGCGCGTTTCGATCCATCCCCATATTGCCGAGGACTGCTCCCTGGGGAGTCTCCAGCCGATGTCTGTGTAAACAGAGTTTGCACTGTACAATGGGCCCCATTACGCTGCAGTTTATTTGCAAGGATTTCGGGCCTCTGACCGTGTTATCATCCATCCGGCACGTGCCACTCGCATCAGCCGGGGTGTGGGAGACCCACTTGGGCCTGCTGCTGACTTTGATTTGTTCAAATCGCTGCTTAATGGATGTTAACATGATGCAGAGAAGAAAAAATCAATTGATTATGAGGTGATGCATCTTCAGAAAAAATTGTATCCAAATTTAAGATGGTAAATTAAGAGTGCTAGGGTATATTTTTAAATTTCTATATTTCCTAAAGTATAATAAAGATTGTGGAATGCAAATTAAGAATTATTCTTACAAACTTTACAGTTTCCTTATCGTTTTAAGCTTTTGAGAAATGTTCAATACATTTATCGACTGATAAAAGGATAACAGGAGCTTTCACCTTTCCATCTTTCAGAAGTTTAAATAGTAAAAAAAATATATTAAAATCATATATGTTTTTAAAATTTTCTTTTTAAAATCATGTATGAATTTAAAATTTTCTTTAGGTTTAAATATTTCTTTCTCTGTATTTTTTAGGCCGCAGTTACCACTGTGACAAGAAGCGCCTGAGGCGCAAACAAACCAAACAAAGAGGCAGGGAGCTGGCCAAAACAAACCAACTGGCCAAAGACATGGGCACATACACAGGACTCAGACAGAGACTAGACGATGAGTCGCTGGCAGGACAATGTCCTAGATCCTGAATTGACCCAAGACTCAAGTGTCGCTTGCCAAGTGCCGCCAAAACAGAAGCGGCAGCTGGGCCGCCATTTAAATTGAATTAAATAAGTGGTAGTAAGTAGTACGTGCAGAATTGCCAATTTTAATGAACGGCTTTTTCGCATTTTCGCATTTCAGCCATGCAAATGGCCCATTTAATTGGATTAACGCACATTTCCGCTGCGTCGCTGGCCAATTTATCACTGCTTATGTTTATGTTTATGTTTATTTGTGCCGCGTTTTAATTATGCGCCACAGTTGGAAGTGTGCCATGCGGAGCTGGAGATGCGGATGTTTGCCTGGCTGCAACTGCTGCTCCTCCTGCTCGTCGGCCGTCTCTTTCTTCTGGCGTATACCTCTCTCTTTTCAGTTTTTCTTGATTTACTGCCAGATCCATTGTGAATGGCTGTCGATTGCAATCGATACGTTGCATACCTTATACATACATATATGTATATATATTTGAGCCCCGCCGCTTCTCCTCCAGAAATCAGACAGCCTGGTGCGAATATCCATCGGTTTGTATCTGATTCGGGATGAATGCCGGTGTAATTTGAAGTCTTGTTTGTGGTTCCATTGCTTCAACGTCGATTGCCGCGATTGTTGTGTATCGATAACCGAAACGAGACGGGTGAAAGTAGCAGCTCATTTCGGTGCAAATCACAGACATATTTTTGGCAGCTTAAACATGGTGTTTTATGGTGATTTTGAATAACTTAATTATCTGCTAAGGCCAAGGTATTGTTTAGTAAATTTAGGCATAAATCGAAAGAATAAGTTATCGTTCCTAGGCAATCGCTTAATAATTTATCGAGCATTATCGATAAGGTGAATTAATAATAGCTCTTTTTTGGCTTAAAGAATTTTAATTTAAAATTAAGTTGACTTCAAAAATGGTCTATTATGGCAAATGTCATGCAAAACGATCAAAAAAAGCCACGCCGATATTGCCTGTCATCGAAAGACAGGATATCATGGATATCATGGCTTAGCCATCCGATTACATTCATTTCAAAGTGCCCCAGGAATTAGGTTGCTTTTGAAATAAACGAAAATCCCTCCAGTTTGCTGTCACGTTTGATAAAGATGAGGAATGGCAGAGCAGAGCCATGAATGGAGCAGCGCCCGCGGAGCCGGCGGAATGGAAAGTGGATTCGGCTGAAAGGCTCCTTCAGAGACATTCATATCGGGGAGTGGAATGGGATTGGCGGACTTGTCGGACACGGTTTAATGTCGTCTGTGCTCGCCGCCGACGTATGAATATTTATAATAGATACTTATCTTGCACCCTTTCGCAGGACTGCGAGCAGGACTCCCAAGCCGGCTTGAATTTACGGTCGCCCTGACTCTGGCTTATTAATTGCCCGCATACACGAAAGCGAGTCCTAGAGTCCCCCTCCCTAGTCCTGGTCCTTTGCTCCCTGTCACTCGCGTCCTTGGCGACCTGTCGCCACCAAATGCAAAACATTAAAAGCATAAATATTAAAAGCCTAATTAATTTTAGGTCGCCGCCTGGCCGGAGTTATATTTTATTACAAAACTGAACGTCAATAATTGCAAGCCGCGGCTCGGCATTCGGGTCGCAGGCTGCAGGTGTGAATTATTCGAGTTCACCTGCCTGCTGGGAGAGGCAGGTTTGTCACTTAAATATGCTGGTAAAATTGTTTAAATAATTAAAGCAATTTACAAGGATTTCAAGAGGGAGAGCAGCTGCTGCCGCTCAGCGGAAAATGTCACATTGAAGGTAGTGAGTTTACAGAGAAAATATTGGGGAATTCAAAATGAAAAATAATTTAAAAATATATAAGAAAATATTATTAAGTCTTTAAGAAATTACACAGGTACACAGCCAAAAATTTCCACGAACCATTTCAAGTTTTCCATGATTTTTGGGTGCTCCTGAGTAAAAGTCCCATACAAAATTATTTTCCATCACCTACAAGTTCCGCGGTATACCTAAGAATACAAAAAACCTATGTTTGCCGACATTTTGAATTACGTGGCCTATATAATTGGACTTACCTTTATTATTTTTGGTAGGACCTACTCTCAATACATCACGGCACTACTAAAAAATAGTCCCAATCGTGGACCATTGCCCATGTCTTTGGAATTCGACGCCAAAGTTGAAACTCCCAAAATTTTCAACATTTCTGTGATGAAAAAACAATTCTGAGAATAAAATCTTATATGGAACTAATTTTAAATATTCATTGAATCTATTGTTCATTGTATTCTTTAATTTCGGTTTAAAGCGTTTTCATGAGGACATTTTATTGGATTTATTAAACGAATAAAACAGCTTTTTTGGTTTGATTATCTACTACTATTTGCTGTCAAATTTTAAATAAGTCAAGGCAACCTATAAAATAGTAGTAGATATGTTTCTTTTTATATATAATATAAATTTAGTTTTATATTAAATAAAAATTTATTCCGAACATAACATTTTTAAGACAGCTTAGTAGCCAGCGATAATCCTTACATATTTAAGTTTAGTCAAAAAGAAAAAATGTATATTATATATAAAAAGAAATATATCTACTACTATTTTATAGGTTGCCTTGACTTATTTAAAATTTGACAGCAAATAGTAGTAGATAATCAAACCAAAAAGCTGTTTTATTCGTTTAATAAATCCAATAAAATGTCCTCATGAAAACGCTTTAAACCGAAATTAAAGAATACAATGAACAATAGATTCAATGAATATTTAAAATTAGTTCCATATAAGATTTAATTCTCAGAATTGTTTTTTCATCACAGAAATGTTGAAAATTTTGGGAGTTTCAACTTTGGCGTCGAATTCCAAAGACATGGGCAATGGTCCACGATTGGGACTATTTTATAGTAGTGCCGTGATGTATTGAGAGTAGGTCCTACCAAAAATAATAAAGGTAAGTCCAATTATATAGGCCACGTAATTCAAAATGTCGGCAAACATAGGTTTTTTGTATTCTTAGGTATACCGCGGAACCTGTAGGTGATGGAAAATAATTTTGTATGGGACTCTTACTCAGGAGCACGCAAATATCATGGAAAACTTGAAATGGTTCGTGGAAATTTCACAAAGTTTAATTTTGTGTTCCTGTGTTATAAGAGTGTTTTAAGTTAATAGATTTTAGACAGCTTTATCTAAAAATTAATACTTGAAGAATGCTTAATAAACAAATTTATGCAATAAATTAAATATGTATTTACTAAAAAATCAAAAAAGTTATAAAAAGCTATATACTTTTTAAAAACTGGTTATCAATTGTTAATATTTAATAATATTTTACCCATCTTTTGATATTAAATATTTTGTAAGATCAGTGTATCTGAATGTTAAACCAATTACAGAAGATCGTAAATATTCCTTATGTCTAGCTCTTAGCACAAGTTGTTTATAACCTGATTGTATTAATTTTAACATCCTACATGAAGCCATAATTCACCAGGCATTGATATAAATACACACATAAATATAAATATAAAATATTATGCATTTTTTGATGGCCGAATATATCATCATTAATTTGTTGCTGTGCAGCTATGTACACATATACTTTTTGGCGACAATTCCCTTCCAGGAGCAGCAATTAGCCATTCCAGCAGTCTGACTTCGGCCCTTTCAATTGCCCCTGATTGATGGATGGAGTGGTGCACTGCATTGCTCTTCGAGATGATGGAGACCTTACCTGTCCTGCTAATGTGCCAGAGCGCCAGCAGGTGAGTGCATGGAGCAGTAAAAGTGGTCTTGCTTTCAGCATTGCAGGTGCACTGGAGTATGGAGTCTCTCGTCTTAGCCATTCACCGTTTGTGGCTATCAGCGATATTGATGGATAACGAGTTTGGGGCCGGGAAAAGTGGGTGAGCCGACCAAGTAGCCGGCATCATAATTCGCTTTTCCATTAATTGATATGCGGCCGGCCATCCAGTTGCATTATTCATATGCATTTAGCAGGAGAGAGAGAGAAAAAATGGGGGAAAACTGCGTTCCGCCAAGTCCAATTTAATTTCGATTTTCCAGCAGTTTTCCCTTTGATCAACTGTCAGAATCCCACCAAGCAGATCCGATCCTTTCAAGCAGCGTATCCGCTTGACAAAAACTCTGCCTTTGAAGTGCTGCGGAGTCAGATGGAGTTTCTCGGACATCTAATTATAGTGTTTTGGTGGAAGAGCACACAGGATTTCCCGGACAAACGCATTAGCCGTGGTTTCTTTGCGAAAAGTTGTTAAAACTGATGAGACAAACTGGCGCTCCATGACTTTTGACCCAAATTGCCGACGTTTGGCTTTATTTTCGCGAATTACCTCGTGAAGATGCGTCAGAAACTTAAGGAGGGAATGGGTAGCAGGATGGAGACTGGAGGATGAGGACGTGCGACCACCAAGACGCTGTCTGCGGCAATCTCTTGGCGGCGGCGGCGCCGCCACTTCGTCTGACCCAGTTTTATATATATTTCGTGGCAGACAAATTGTCTGCGCGATATGTTCGCCCCACAGATTGTTTATGATGCTTTTGAACTCCGCTCGCCTTTAAAGAAGTCGCAAAAAAATATCAAAACGACGCAGAAATGTGAGAAAAGCTCGTGAGGTCAGAGGAGAGAAACCCCATCCCGAATTCAATTATGGCCAATTTTCTGGGGTGACTGGAGGCCAGCTAATGTAATGGAGATAACCACAAACATCACCTCACCTAACAACACCTTGACTGCCAATTAGACTTGGCCTGGCCTGGCCAAATTTCAATTAACGTCAAGAGCAATCAACGAAACTTTCCACCCAGATTGTCTCTCTCTCTCATTGGACGAGGAAAAGTTTGAACCCTGAACTTTGCTGCATTCTGGTCTTTTCAATTATTTAAAAACCGAAAAACCAAATAACCAGCTGCCGGCTAGTTGCATAAGCCAAGGCTTTGGATTTACTTCACTGAGGAAAATATATAATAACAAGTCTTTAATAAATATTTTTTTAGTATTCTATTTAAGCACTCTTCAACGTAACATAAAAATATCTGTTAAAGATTTTCTTTTTAACATTAAAAGCTAAAGACAGCCCGTCTTTTTCGGTGTTTAAAGTGCAGTCCGGCTTGCAAAACTTGTTAGCTGCATCGCAATTATGACAGAATTAAGTTTTATGCCATGCCACCGAGGTGACCAACTGTCAGGCCCCCGTCTCTGTGGCTAATCCCGATCCCCGCCAGACACCGACAACCGCAAGTCAGCAAAAAGCTACGCAAACCCAATCCCAATCCCAAACCCCATACCCTCACCCGTACCCAGACCGCACATAAAACTGTCAGGGAGTGTGTGTGGTGTGTCAATGCCGGGTGAGATGCGGTGCCAGCGGATTTCCAATCCATTCCAGCGCCACCCACATGTTACACAAATCACTCTGCCGCTGCAGGCCGGAGTGGGATGCGGTGGGTGCCGGTTGCCTATTGGATGCATATTCGGATGCTTCATGTCCATGACCATGTGCCGAGTGTTGTGCCATTGACTTGGCAACTTTGTTTGGGCTCTCCTCGGTCTCTGTCCCGCCGTCTGTTTGTCAATAAAGCAAACAAAGAAGTTTGTCCCCGACCAACAGAGCACCAAAGATACAGATACAGATACGGAGTGCGAGTATTGTATCTGCATTCGCACCGGAAGTGCAACTCAAACAGCAAGACACGACACAACTTTTTGCTGCCGATCCTTTCCATCATCGTTTCCATATTTTCCTTTTGTCTAGAAAGTTTTGCCACTACAAGCTCCCCTCCGTTTTATCGGTGACAAGTGTCAGGGGCAAAAGCAAACACGCTGAGCAAATTAAAGCTCCATTGGCGATCCCGGCTTGAAGGATTGATGCATTTTAAACACGACGAGAAAAAATATATCTAAAATATATATCAGAATTATATAAATAATAAACTTATAACAAATGCAAAAGCATTATAGAGTTTAATATCCTTCATAAAGTAAGCTTACTGCGCAAAAATTCCACAAAATATTACAATAGTAATATAAAACTTATATTCCTTGGATAGGAATTCTATCTCTAACCCCCGTTTATACTATATGCACGCTTCCTGGCCGTTATTCAGTTGGCTGTACGTGATTACTGCCTGATTGCAGGACTAGATAAAAGCGCCAGACCTCGTAATTATGGCCCTTGATCCTTTTTTCTTTTTTTTTTTTTGCTTCCTCCTCCATCACTACGTCTTTTTCACGCAATGAAGCGCAATAATTGCTGCGCTTAATGCAAATTCTTTCACCAAAAAGGCAGGCAGCCACGCCCCTAAAGTGAGGGGGCTGCAAGGGGCAATGGCTAGAGAAAGTGGTGTCAACCCCGGCGTCCAGACGACAGCACACTGTGTATGCAAATGAGTTTCCAATGACTTGCTCCGAAAACAAAACACACCACGCCGCGCAGGATATGACTTTATGTCGTTACGTCTGCTGCTGCACTTGAACTTGGCTCCGTCGCCCGCCATTAACTTGGCCACATGCATCGTCTGCCCCGATGTCTGTCTATATATAAAAACATATAAGTTTGCATGCGGAGTGAAAGCGTCACAGCCACTTGTATTGTCGTTGGCTAGAGGCGTTTTATACGAAATTTGCACTTTTATTGGTGTCCCCGAAGCTGCTGGCTCCTTTTAACGCTTTTAAGTTAAAGCGATAAGCGCTTTGTAATTTCAGTTTTAGTGCCTGCCCTTTATTCCGCTTATCGCTGCACTTTAAGCGCAACGCCGGCAGTGACACTAAAAGCCTCTGGAGACTTCGATAGCTATTGAACATTTGGAGGTACATTTTATGGCTTTGGTTACTTTAATTTTCGATTTTTTCAAATTAATAAGTAGCAAAATATTTAATACATTTCAGTAACAACAAGAAAGAAAGCTAACTTCGACACGCCGAAGTTTGTATACCCTTGCAGATTGCAATTGGATCACTAAGAATCGAGCCATTCTGGTTAAATAATTAAAATTATTCGAATTGAATTTCATGCATTTTTGACTGAGTTGTGAACCTTTGAAAATTAGTTACTTGCTCATTTTTGTTTAAACAATTATTTAAAAATTACAGGTAAGTATTAAAGCAAAACTAAGTAGGCAGTTTTGTTAAGCTTAGAATAACCAACTTAGAACAACTTTCCGAAATGAATTACATGCATTTTTGACTGAGTTATGAACCTTTGAAAATTAGTTATTCTCCCCAAAAATAAATCGCACAATTTTTGCAAAAATATGTAAGGGGTACCATCATTAAAATTCTAAAAAATTGAGAAAAAATGAAATTGAAAAGAACCCTAAACGTAGTATGCAGTTTTGTTAGGCTTAGAAAAGGCAATTCTGAACAGCTTTCCGAATTGAATTTCATGCTCCAAATTTTCGAAAATTTCCATGCAAGTTGCCTGCTTCTCAAATTGGGGTAACAGGCAAACAGAAACCAGCAGCAAGCAACTGAAAACTGGCATAAACTGTTATAAAAAGTCCAAGTTTCGAACCTTATGGGAGCAAGCGAAAGTCAGCGGAGACTCAAACCTGGCTTCTTTCCCAAAATACAACTCTGTGTTGTCTGCTCTCTTCTTTTCTGGACACTTGCTATCCCTCTCTGAGCTGCCTGCCCAGAGTTGCATTTTGGGAAAACAGCCGTTACTTTCGCTTGCTCCTAAATGGTTCGAAACTTGGACTTTTTATAACAGTTTTCAGTTGCTTGCTGCTGGTTTCTGTTCGCCTGGTACCCCAATTTGAGAAACGGCCAAATTGCATAGAAATTGTCGAAAATTTGGATGGGCTGCTGAAATTATTTTTAATTCCTCTAGCTTTAGTTGCGACTTAAATTATTATTTATTTCCCCCGTTAACTGAAAATTTTAATATTTAAGAAAATAAAAAAAAAATTATTTAAATATTTATTTATTTATTTAATTTATAATTGGTATAAACTGTTATAAAAACTTTTGGCCACAAAATAGTAACTGGTATAAACATTAATATTTTATTTTTTGCATTTATACCCTTTTACCGCCGGCACATTTGTTGGCTATTTAAACAAAATGTAAAAGCTATAAATTTAAGTCCCTTTCGCGCCACAGTTTTAAAAGCTTTTCTCTACTACTCTGGCAGCTCTCTGAAATAAACCATTCATCCGCAGCAGTATGGCAACGCCTTACCAAACCAGCTGTTTTTTGTTTTGGTTCTTCAAGTGTCGTAATTCGCGAAAAGGCGAAAAGTTACATCTCAAGATCTCGGCCAGAAATGTCGAAGCACGCACTGATAGGTAAGTACAAGGAAACCAATAAAGGCTCCATGGCCAGGTGAAGTTATTCACATTCTCGTTTAGGCGGCGGCACCGGCTTTATTGGCCGGAATCTGGCCAAGAACTTGTCGCAAAAGGGCTACGATGTAACGGTCATTTCCCGGATGCCAGGACCAAAGCGCATCACTTGGCACGAACTGGAGAAGAATGGCATACCATCCAGTGTTAGCGCCGTGGTGAATGCCACAGGCCAGAATGTCCTGGATCCGACGAGACGCTGGACTCCAGGTTTCCAGCAGAACGTATGGAACTCCCGCATCAACTCCTCCAAGACACTGGCTCAGGCTATGAAAGCAGCTCCCCAGGTTACCTCGTTTGTGAACCTTTGCGGAGTCAGCCATTATCCCCCCTCGGAGACCAAGGTCTACACAGAGGAGGACAAGGTCTCAGGCTTTGACTACATGTCCAAGCTGTGTTTGGCCTGGGAGCAGGCAGCCAAGACAGGAGAGGAACAGGATTGCAAATGCGTGAGTTAACAGGAAGTATTTTAAATGCAAATTTCCTCAAAAATGTTCTCTTTTTCAGACCATTCTCCGCACTGGCGTGGTTGTGGGACATGGCGGTGGCATGATTCAATCCATTTGGCTGCCCTTCAAGCTGGGTGTGGGTGGTCCCTTGGGCAGTGGCCAGCAAATAATGCCCTGGATACACCTGCAGGATCTCTGCAGCCTGATACAGCACATTATAGAGAAGCCAGTGCCGGGTGTGGTCAACGCTGTGGCCCCCGAAATAGCCAGCAATAAGGAGTTTAGCAAGGCGAGTAAATCCTTCTTCTAAAAGCTTATTTGATAATATAACTCTCTGCTCTTAATAGGCCTTTGCCAAAGCCATCAATCGTCCCTGCATCTTCAATGTGCCCGAGTTTGTGGTCCATGCCATCTTTGGCAAGGAAAGAGCCGCCCTTCTGCTGAGCGGAGCCAAGGTGAAGCCGCAGACAGCCATCTCCAGTGGCTTCAAGTTTCAATATCCCACTGTAAAGGAGGCCGTGACCGAGCTGGCCCGCAAGCGATGAACTGGACAATGTGATTTAGTCAGAAGTTGTCTGAAAATTAAATAGATGGTAGTACCAAGCGCAAATTAAACCGAATTTCTGGTGCTGCGGGGAGTCATGAAGAAAATAATAGACCCATTTAATCTGTTTACTCATTAGTCATGACCACCAACCACCCACCGCCAGTATTTCACAATGTTTTAAGTGTCACATTATATATAATTATTGGCTTAATTCATATTTATAAAAAAAAACCGTGTTATAATTAATTCAATCAACGTGTCTGATGTTTCTGGAAGTTTTAGGAAAATCAAGCTGAGATCTGAGATTCTAAGCCCAACTCCCAAGCCTTGCGGGTGATTCCCCCGCAAGTGTTACAGCCGAGTGTGAAAGATTCTAGATAATACATTTGTATCTATACAAGTTTGGCTATAACCCTTTGCTGGATTGTTGGCCAATTGAAATAATTGCAGGCGCAAACGTAACCGAATGGGCAAAAAACAAATTAATTGACTTGCGCACGCTGCGAATCCCCGGCTATACATGTATATATCCACATAATTATAAATGACTTTTCATTTATTTTTGCCAGCTCCGTGAGTTCTATATAAAGTCAGGGTCCATGGTAGACAGAGATTCAGTTTCTGTTCAGAGCCGTCAAAACGAAAATGCTTTCGAAATCGCCGCTGTTACTGCTCGTTGTCGGGTTCTGCCTGGTATGCTGATGATGCGGGATCACGCGATTGTTTGCCATCTAAAACCACTAATCCATTAACAGAATGCTGCCGCGTTGGCCGACGTAGACTGCAGCAAGCGTCCCCCCTTTGTGGATCCCAAAACATGCTGTCCCATGCCGGATTTCGTAACCGCTGAGCTCAAGGAGAAGTGTGCCAAGTTTGACATGACCCCTCCGCCGCCAACCGATGGAGATGCCAGTGGTTCCTTCGAGAGCAAGCGTCGTCATCATCATCCCCACCCGCCACCAGTGAGTTTTCGCGCTGGAATCCTTTCAAATCCGTCTAAATAATATGTTACGTTTAGTGCTTCTTCTCCTGCATCTTCAATGAAACTGGCATCTACACGAACAGGAGCCTGAATCAGGACAAGCTAAAGACCTATATTGAGAAGGTGTTTGAGGATAGCTCCGATCTCCAGACCACCGCCATTGAAGCCTTCACCACCTGTGCCACCAAGGTGGCCGAGTTCGAGGCCAACCTACCTCAGCGTCCATCGCCGCGACCAGGACGTCCATCTCCGCCACCTGGCATGCCCTTCTGCCCCCACGACGCTGGCCACCTGATGGGCTGTGTGTTCAGAAATGTGCTGAAGAACTGCCCGGCTTCCATAAGGAACGATTCGCAGCAGTGCACCGACCTGAAGGAGTACTTCACGAAGTGCAAGCCGCCGCGTGGACCTCCTCCGCCCTCGGCAGAGGAAATGTAAAGACCTTTCTATTCGAGTCCCGTAAAAACAATACCTCTCCAGACAGAACATTAACTTTTTTTGTTGCATCCTTTCGATTTCAATCAATAAAGATTTAAAGCTCAATATGGCGCCACTTCCTGTTCGTAGACAGCAGCATCCTTTGTGCCACTTATCGCAAGGATGCACGTCTGGGCGCGCAATGAGTTAGAAAATTAGGTTTCCGCCGGGGAAATTACTTATCGCGCGCATGTGCGTGGCCAGGAAACCGCTCTACTTCCTGGCAAAAAAGGATTCACTTAACTTTTGTCTGGGAAAGTGAAAGGAACATGGAGGAGGAGCTAAAGAAATTCTTTGAGGACTGCCAGAAACAGAATCTCTCTGGCCAGGACATGCTGGCCATATGTCAGCCATTGATCTGGCGGATCCGACTGGCCAGAGTGAAGCAATGGGGTTATATTCTCCTGCCTTTGGTGGCCCTGTATATTCTTTGGTCGTATTGTGATACCTTTGCTTGGTTTCTGAGCGCCGTGGGGCGTATGATGCTCATCCAGGTCTTGCCCTTGTGGGACTGGACACCCTACTACAATGCCAAGTGCCTGATTTCTCGAGGAGATCAGCGAATGCAGGAGCCTCTTTCCCCTCTGGGAAGAAGAGAAACCCTGCCGGAGAACTGCGTTCTTTGTGAGTCAATAGGTGAGTTTGGACCTGGTTGAAGCTAACCTTCATATCATCCCTTATATTCTCCAGAGGGAATAGCTACGGCCTCGAATGTAAGCTACTCCATGTTGGAATCTCAGTACTTGGAGCGTGGTCTTCCTGTAATTATCACCGATGCCGGCTTGGAAACAACTCTGGGCGATCTTCTAGAGCTCATGGAGGTTAAAGCACCTGAGTGGCTAACCAGTGAGCCCTGCGATGTCTCCAGTAATCTCCTGCTGCGAAAACTCTTCAATCTGGACGCAGCCATGGAGAAGATCCACTCGTGGCGAAAACAAACCTCAAATCCCTGGCACATTCAGCTAAGAAACTGCCAGAGGAAGGCAGTAAAGACCTCTCGCCTGTTTTTAGAAAGACCTTACTACTATCCTTTCCACCTGGCGCCCTACTACTCCAGTTGGTTGCTGGCAGTGCATCAGCAAAAGCGCAGCCAGACGGAGATTTACGTGAGGGGCCTGATCCTGTTTCAACAACTAAGTGGTCACTTTGAAGTGGTCCTTCATCCCAAGGATCCCTGTGGGTATGGAGTGTGTCCCAGCCTGAGAATGCGTCTGAATAGCGGGGAGGGCCTGATATTCTCCTCGGACCTTTGGAGCCTCAGTTATGGGCTGGAGAAGCCCCAATCCAAGCAGACCTCCCTGGCCAGCGTCTTCGAGATTGACTGGCAGCCGTAGAAACAAAATATACTTAGTTGGCCGAAATTGTATTTGCACACACAACTAGAGAATATACTCGAAATAAAAGCCTAAAGATTACATTTAGTTAGTGGAAGGGATTAGGACTCAAATTGGAAAGCGTTTAGGCCCGTCGGCACTTTGCCTCCACTAGCTTCTGTAGGGTGGCTGTCAGGCTATTGATAGCATCGATCTTCATGCGCTCGATCCGCTCCTGCTGCACCAGCGACATCTTCTGGATTTGCACCTGCTCCTGCTGCAGCTTCCGCTGGAGCTCCATCTTCTCCCGCTCCACCTCCAGCTTCCGTTCGAAGTAGTCCTTCCACCAAATGTCATCGGTGACAACGCCTGCGGGACCCTGTCCCTGTGGACGAGCCAGCTCATTCCCCTCCAAGTGCTGGCTACTATCGCTGGTTCGCTCCGCCTCTGCCGCATGTTCAGCGTCGTACTCCATTTTGGGTTGTCGCACCTCCGACATGGTGTTGCTGTCTTCATCGAACTCGTCGTTGGACTTGCTGTCCATGTTCATCTGGGCCTGCAGGAGCACCTGGTCCACGGGTGTGATATAGGGCTGTTGTTCCTCCTTCGCCGGAGTCTGGGATTTTATCTGCAGCTTCATTTGCGAGGGCTCGGGCTTTATGCTCACAGGATTCGACTGCAGCTGGAGCGGTTGCTGCGGCTGACCTTGGCTTAGGGTCTGTCCTGGAGCAATAACCGGAGTCTGAGGAACTGTTGCGGATGGCTGGGGCAGCTGCATGTCAAAATCTGCCTTCTTGCCCTGCAAATACTTGAACATCTCCTCGAAGAACTCCCAGTGCACGTAGCCAGAAACGTATTTCTTGCTCAGATTCTTGTTGTAGGTGATGAGGATGTTGTGCCACTTTTTCTGCACCTTGGCGGCGGAGTAGCGGAAGCCCAGGCGCTGCAGTTGACGGGTGCAGTGAAGCCAAAGTGCGGTTCTTTTTTGTCTGTAATGTGAGGAGTTTTATTGTAGGAAAGGATTTAAGTTTGACGAAATATTTCGCCACTAACCTGCCCTCCGTGAAGCTTCCCTCCATGGGACCGCGTATGTGTATCAATGCCCTGGTTGCCTCCGTGGTCCAAGCCCTCTCGTAGGGACCACGTCCCAGACTGTTGGCACCACCGGTGGTCTCTGCCTCCTCCAACAGGCAATCATCATCCAGGTCATCCAAGTCATCGTCACTTATTTGATAAGCTGGGAAAAAGGAAAATTAAATTGTTGGTTGAAATTAATATGTTTATATCTTTGTCAAGGTATTTTATTTTGTGGTCAAAATGCTGGAATAAAGTAAAGGTGTTATATAAATATTCATGATCATCAACAGTCAAGTTTGTTGGAAAAATGTATCCTTTTTTAAGGAGTTACATTATTTTTTTGACTTGATTATTATCATTTCCGATTCGATCGAATAATCTAAACTTCCCTTCCGTTCAATATCTATGTTTAACATAATTATAAATTATTACTTTTACAGATTATTTATTGGTTTCAATATGAATTTAATTATTTTATTTAAAATTCCTTTTTTTAAATGTCAGAACTATTAATCTATTCTCCATTTAGCCACTTCAGGCAACAAGATAAAGAAAACAATAAACTTTCCAAACTTGTTGCTTGCTGCTAGCAAAGGATGGCAACTCTGGCGCTCTCGAAGCATCCTTCTTTAGTGTCCTTTGCTCTCGCCGCCTCTTTGTCCTTCGCTCTCTCTCTATCCTTGGCTGCTCTCTCACTCTCTCGCTACTCAAGCTACCACCCAACGCCAGGCCAGCAAACATCCTAGCTATGCCAAAGATGCTAGCTGCTGCTGACATACATCATATATATGATACATACATACATATATCCTGTTATATTGCACACACAACACCCTGCTAGTCCTGGAAACGGACACACCTGCACAGGTATATACTTTCCTGGCAACCGTTCAAGTTCTAACGCACTGACAGATTTAAATATTCGAATTGCAGAGCCGAGACTTACGTTCATTATCCTCGGCATTAATGCCATTATTGCCATTGCCTTGGGCAGTGGCTCCATTCAGCTGAACTTGAGCCATTCCAAGAATATTCTTCCTTTTGCCTAGCTGGCTCTGAGCTTTAGACCTTTCGCCTGTCAATAGTTTTCTCTTACTAACAGGACGAATTTTTGGCTGCAGCTTCCCTGGGTCGAGAACATCGCGTGCGCCTACTCTCTTCGTTTTCGCCATCCCGCTCGGACTCTCGCACCCTCCCGCTCGCTCTGCCGCAGATCTGGGAGGAAGCTGCGGCTAGCGAAGGAGTAGAGTAGTGGGCTGGAGTTGGGCTGGGGTGTGCAGCATCTGCGCACAAAGAGGTCTGACGCAGGCTGGAAAGTCTAACCTAAAATAGTTCTAGTCCGTCTGCACTGGAATGCTATTCAGAAGCACTTAGGGATTGCTAAGTATCTTGCTCTTGTTTGGTTTAATCTGGAATTAGGGTTTATCACTGGTCGAGTCCTTGGCTTTTCACAAATCTAAGCAGGCCCAGGGCTTACATATTAGGTTGAGCATTTTTCAAGAAGTTACCATCAACTGGGTCAACAGCACTTTTAAATATATTTTTATTATTTTTTTTTTTTTTTGTAATGTAATAAGTCTAAGCTTATAAAATATCATAAAATAATTATTCCTTGTTAAAATCTTACTTATATTTTTGGTAATTATGCTTTGAATGAGTTTAAACTAATATACTTTTATACTTATTATATTATTATTATTATTATAGCCATCTTTACTTATAACTCCCTGAATGTCTGCAACTCAGTATTGTTCCAATTTCAAAAATGTTTCTCCCTTTTTCCAGTGCAAAACCGACTATTAAATTTTCAAACTTATTTTCAAAAACGTCATCGAAACTCAATCGGCTTATCGATAAGTCTTAGAGTTGCCACCAAGTTTTCCCGGCATACACAACGATTTTTTCAGAAGGTGGCAGCACTCCGACCGCGAATTTGCGCGTGGGAAAAAAATAAACAATTTATTATAAATAATTCTACATTTTAGTTGTTAAGAGAGAGCCAAGACCATGCCCGCGGTTGAGAAAAGCGTGATGTGAGTACCAAAAGCCCCAAAATGATGGAATCCAGCATCTAAACCACCTGTTATCCCCCTTGTAGCACCGACTGGAAGCGCCTGTGGCAGATGGTGTCCGGAATCCACTACGAGACGCCCCAGGAAACAGTGCGCGATGAGCTGATGAACGTGGCCAGCGAACTGCAGGCCGGCGTGCTCCAGTTCAAGCCCAAGAGCGCCTCCGATGTGCAGTTGGAAACGCTACTCAAGGAGAAGAAACAGGAGAAGCTGCTGCCCTTCACCGAGCGCCTGCAAGAGCTGCTGGATCTGGAATCCGCGCAGTGCTGGGAGATCCTCTGCTATTACCTCACCAAGGAATACAGAGGCTCCGCGAGCCTGCTCACCCAGCTCATCTCCACGGAGACGAACATGGCCAAGCTGCACGAGGACATTCGGCACTACTACTCCCTGGAGCGCATGATAGTGCTGAAGATCGTGAAGAACCTGCTCGTGTTCCACCGGGTACCGAATCACCCCTACCACCAGGAGTACCGGGCAATAGTGGACAAGATAACTCTGCCCTGCCTAAGGGATTCCTATCTGGATCAGCTGGAGAGCTTGATCGGCGAGCTGCCACCGAGGAAGCTTCGGGCGGGCGAGTGCTTTCACTCCACGGAGAAGCTCATTGCCTGGTCGGAGCGGAATGCCAGGGAGATCAACGAAGTGCTGCACATCCTCCTGCTGCTGACGGAGCACCTGCCCATGGGCTTCGAACAAATCAAGCGGATCTTCGCAGCCTGCAAGCAGCACTCCTTTGGCAGGCTGCAGAACTACCTGGACGACAGCCAGCGCTACCACCAGGAGCTAATCATCAGTATATCTTATTCGGAGCTGGTGCTCATCATGAAGTGCCTGGATTTCGAGAAGCCCCGCGAGCACACAGAACTGATAGAGCAACTCATCGAGGAACTGCAAATGGACATTGCAAACATGCACCATCGGCAGGAGCACGGTCCTTTGCTCCTAGTCTGGATGCTGCTCCGCCTGCGTGGCACCAACGATGCCGACGATGCCTCCAGCCTGCTCCGATGCCGACAGCTTGGCAAACGGGCAGTGGACCTCAAGTGCTTTGTCCAGCTGCAGCTAATTGTCCGGCATTCCATGTACGCGGACGACTCGATGCTGTCGCGGATTGCCCGCAAGACCATCTACAACCAGCTCTGCTACATGTGCGATCTGTTCGATGGCGACGGCAGCTGTGCCCGCCACGAGGGCATCTACGAGCTGCTCAGCGAACTGGTTTCGTGGCCACAGCTGGCCAAGGACTTTTGCAGTCGCGAGGGTTTGTGCAAGGTTTTCCTTTTTAAAAATTGAAATTCACTGAATTGATTTCCCTGCAGATGATGATGGAGCGCGGTCTTTGTATAAAACTCTATTGGAGAACTTTCCCCTGGAATTCACTCATTTGGCCAAACTGTCACAGTCGCTAACCAAGGCGGGACAGGGAAACTTTGTAAGAAAACAAATAATCCTTGTAATTAACGATTATTGACTTTACTTTTCCCAAAAAACAAACCAGATCAAGAGTCAATTGGAGTCCCTGCCGATATTGGCTCTCTTGTACGATGAAAACGAGCATAGGCTGCGCGAGGTGGACACGGATGAGTTCGAGCTAACGGCCAGTGTGCGTCCGTTTCCCCGCATCGACTACACCATTCCCGCGGGCACCAGCTGCACGGCCATCCAGCATCCCTCCGGCTGCTACATGCACTTCCGCACGCATGTGAACTTCTTCGATGCCCTGCACCATGAGATCAACTGCTTGCTGAGGGAAACTGGTCACCTGCACGGTGACTTTGACTCCAGTGAGCGCATTCGTCGCGTGGAAGCTGGTTTGCGGTACCTGGAGACCGCCGTGCAGCGCTGCACTTCGATTGCCGGCATCAGCGCCGAGATGGTGCACCCCACCGAGATGTGCGTGGACCTGTTGCACAAGTTCAAGGGCGTGCAGTGCCCGCCAGTGGGCCTCATATCCAGTTGCCTGAATGTCTGCACGGCCCTGCTGCCGCTGGTGGACGAGGAGATCTTTTCCCGGATCAGCCAGCTGGACATTTTGCCCACGGTTAGCAAGGGTCTACACTATGACTTCAAGCACTATGCCAATGCCAGTGGCGTGTGCTTCGAGTCGCGCTTCCTTGGCTCTGTAATTGACAATGTGGAAAAGAAGAGCGAGCGCTACGAGTTCCTGCTGTCGTACCTGGGATTCCTGCGCACCTACACCAAGCTGAAACGGAATCGCTACATGCAGGTGGAGATTCCGGGGCTGATATTCCTGCTGAGGGATGTCTTTCCGCACCTGCATGCCTGGCACTTTCGGTCGCAGGTGGAGCGGAACAAGATCTACTTCGAGGTTCTGAGCTTTATCTGCGACATTCTGGACTTGATTGGCACGAATCCTAGTGATGCCCACAGCGAACAGCGGGAGCTACTGCTCAAGGTGTGCGTTTATTCGCTGCTTAATCTGGATAATGGCCTGATCCTATTAAGGTGAGTTAATTTCTCGATTCTTTCTTGATATTCTTACTTATTAAAGCTTCATCTAAAGATTTGTGGGCGTGGGCAATGCCTACGTGCAGTATACCATGGAGCTGGAAACAAACTGGATGCAGCAGCAGCCTCACGGCCTGATGATGCTGGTGCGTCTGTCCATGCGCATCCTCATGCAACTACTGCGGCTGAAAGAGAAGGTGTACGGAAGCGGCGAGACCTTGTCGCCCTTGGAGGCTCTGATATACACTCAGCCCAAGCAGCGGGATACCCTCCGGATTATCCCCACCGTCTGCAGCTACATGGCCAACATCTTTGACAGATGGCTGCCCATCCTGTCCTGCCGCCTGCTGAAGCGCATCGCCCTGGAGTTCAACATGTCGCTGCTGGCCTGCTTGGACATGGAGGCGGATCAGATTCGTTTGACGTTCATGCAAAAGCTGCCCGACGAACTCGAGAGCGACTCGATCAAGTTGGCCATCCTTGAGCTGGTCGACGCCTGCATCGCCAAGCAGCCGGGTGTGACTGAGGCCTTCTTCAAGGTCAACTATGCCCAGGACAAGCGATCGAGGTCCTTCTTTGGCAAAGAGTGCGTTCCCAATATTGGCGAGAGCATCGTCACCTACATGCGGGAGTTCTTGGACGCCCTCCAGGTGGAGCCCCTGACTATCCAGCAGGAGTTGCCCTGCAAGATCATGAACATATTCCACTCGCTGTGGAAGCACAACCTCCAGATGCTGGTCGATGAGCTGGTCAAGGACAAGCAGTTTTGGCCAAAGATTGCCGCTCCTTTGTTCTGCGAACTGCAACCGGACATGAGGATCTACACGCAGCTGCTTAACATCATCTCCATTGAGGTCTACACAGGCAAAGGGCAGAATTCCGGTCTCCTGGACATGATGACCAAGTTCTTCCAGCCCAAGACCTTTGAGCCCTGGCTAAATTATGTCTTCGACATGCCCAAGGTGCCGGCCGTGAGTAGTATTGGGTCCCCCGATGGTCAGCCGAACTGGATCTGCTGCCTGCAGGCGTTCAAGGACCTCATTGTGATCCTGCTGAAGAAGCAGCCCCAGTTCATGGCCATACCCGAGCAGCAGTTCAAGCTGATGGCCGAGAAGTGCTTGACAGTGCTGGTGGATCGCTCGAATTACCTGGAGGACATGCGGCCCTTCATCGTGCTCTCCGAGATGTACGTGTTCCTCCTGTTCCAGTTCAAGCACTCGTACACAAACAGCGGTGAGGAGGAGCAGGAGCTGATGGAGCAGCTGCTGCAGCTGATGAACCGGATCTGCTCCTGCTATGATGATCTGCATGTGAGGGCCAAGGAAGCCTGTCTGGCCATCATCACCAAGTGTGCCCACCTGTACACAGATCTGCTGATCCGCGACTCATCCATAGCCCTGCGTTTCCTTAATTCCGTGGTCAGCATCATCTGTAGCGAGCTGCAGCACATGGAGAACTCGGTGAGCCTAGAGAAGACACAGAGTCTGAACACTTCGGATAGTTCCGGAGGCAGCAAGGCGTCCACCAACTCGCTGATTCTGTGCCTCAATCTGCTGAAAGCCGTGGCCACCATATTCCACAGTGACGGTCCCGGGAACTGGGACATACCGTTTGTGTCGGTTCGTCTGTTTCAACGCCTCCTGCGCTGCATCTCGCACACCCTGCCGCTGTACAGCAAGCAAGTGCTCAGTGTCCAGCTCCTGGATGTGCTTATCGTTTTCGCCAAGGGTCACTGCTCTGTAGAGTTCCTGCACTGCGATGTGGGCGAGTCGTTGTGGCTGAACCTACTGCCGCCACGGGAACTGCTGCAGTCTAAGCTGGAGTTCAGCAAACCTGCGCCGGCGGATGCAGAGCGCTGGTCCGTAGAACAGTGGTGGCCCGTATACGCCAGGGGCATCGAGCTGGTCACCATTATTCTGGAGAAGCACAAGAAGTGCTTCCTCCACGAAGCTCTCCAGTTTGTGGGCATTCACGAAGTCTATCTGGTAGATGCCCTGCTGCTGAGCAAGCAATCCCTGGAACCGGCAGCCATGCAGCTCATCAAGGCGGCCATTAGCCTGGTGGCCTGTCTGACCGAGCATCAAAAGGAGTGGCAGGAGGAGTACGACTCGTCGCTGGGAAATATAATGGTGGGTTTCAATCGGACACTCATTAAGAGTTCTATTTAATCCTTGCAATTGTGGGTTTACAGCGGGCAGTGCAGGGTTTGTTGTGCCATAGCTCTTCCTTGTTCCATCAGCAAAGGAACTTGAAGTGTCTCCTGGCTGGCAGACGCTCGCAGCTAGAGATCCTGCGCAGCACAGAGGCTCTGACCATCGATGATGACCTCATAACCGCCTGCAATGAGTGAGTTTCTTTTTAAAAACTTTATACATTTAGAAAATTCATTTAATTTGTATATTAAAGCCTCACGGACATCATCATTTACTGCGTAAAATCCCTGTTGAGATTCAGCCCTGACCTGATGGACCTGCTCTGCGGCAGTGTCTATGAGCCGCACAAATGGCATCCTTTGCTGGATGTGAAGTTCGGCGCCCCCAAGCTGAACGAAGACAATGTGACGCTGACATTTGGAATGGTTCTCAACATGATCAACATATACGTTAAAGCCTTGAATATGGTAAGTACATTTGCTTTTGCTTTCTGTAGCATTCTTTACGGACCCTTTTGGATCCTCAGCAAAACCATGGCTTCAGCGATCTTCCCTTGAACACTCTGCCCAATGTGGAGAAGCCAGCTACGGACCCGGCGGACAACGAAGATGCTACCATTTGCCTGAACAACCAGACAAATCGCACTTTCTCCAAGTCCCTGTCCACCGTTTCGATTTCCACTGCCGGCTGTCCAGCCAGTGAGTTGCTCTCGAATATGGACAGCCAGCTTTGTCTGCTGGCCCTGGAGCACTTGCTTTTGCTGGTGGCCTCGCAGGTCATTTGCATTATCCGCTCGCCGGAAGTGGAGCCGCGATGGAAGACGATCGTGCGTCGGGACATTAGCAACGAGCTGGTGATCTTCCACGAATTCGTTCGTCGCAAGGTGATTGCCAATTACAAGGAGAATCGCAGTCCATGGCTGCGACGCAAGCATGGACTCTTCAAGCTCAAGTTCCTCGATCCCGCGCGGAGTTCAAGTTCGCCCAGTACTTCATCCCGCAACCCCGATCCAGTGCGTCGCATCAATAGTGCCGCCAATGAGCTGCGTGTGAATGTGGTTCGGCGGCAGCACCTGCAACAGCAACTTCGTAGTCCTCCGCCCAATACCTTTGACATGAGCGTGGATATAAGTACCATATCGCCACTCCAGGGTACTCAGAATGCTGCCATGTTGTCGGCAACGGAGGCGAGGGACACCCGAAAACGTTTGTATCCCGCGGAGCAGGTGGGCGCGGCCTTCGTGGAGGACGAACTCTCGGCCATCGATCAGCAGTTTTTTCCTCCGCCCACGGAGAATGGTTTTAGCGAGCTGTCGCAGGTGCAGCTGGTGGAGGAGGACTACATGCAGCTGATGTCGGTCCTCTTCAACGTGATGCCCCATTGCGAGTGAGCTGTTTAATTATTGATTGTTTCATTATTAATTATTAAAATAAATTGCTTACACTCAAATAAAAACGAAGGTTCTTAATATTTGAAAACAATTATAATTGTAAATAATTATTTAAGATAAACTAAAATTACCACTTGCCTTCAACCAAAACTTTCCTCTTTGATTTACCAACTAGAGTTTATTTCGAGTGTACGCCTTAATTTTGCACAATTGTGCGAGTGACGTCACTCCGGGCCAAGACGAGCCCCCCAGCAACGTCATAGCTATCTCTGTTGTGGAAAAAAAGTGCGATTACCTATGGAAAAACCTCTCCCACGCCTCGTGAACTTCCCTGGTGCTTGGTCACAGGAGAATCCTCCACCGTACAGGGAGAGTAACCAAGAGAAGAGAGCAATTTATGCTTACTCACAACCGAAGAAGTAAGCGACGCCGCTGCCACCGATTCCGATTCCCGTTCCGATACCGATTCTGCCAACGCGCTGAGCTGATTATGAGCTTTCTGCCTCTGGCCGAGACGTCGCTCAGCATTAGTACCTTGCGAGTGGTAAAAGAGAACGCATGTGCAGACACCGGAGCGGCTACGCAACGTGAACGAATTGAACGAAGCAGCAGCAAGTACGAGCCAAAGGCTTACCCACTCTCTTAGCCCCGGGACTCCAGCCCATTAATCCAAGAATCAGAGCCATCGTCATTAGGGCAGCCAATTAGCCAAGTCAGTGATTGTGATAATGCTTAAAGGTGTCCCCACGCTAGCCGGTCGTAACCTGCGCCTTCTAACTGGATCCGGACAAGTGCTGGTCCCCCATCGCCCCAAGGCATCCGCCGCGGAGCCGGCCGAGGCGGACATCGAACTGGGCCAGGAGCCGAATCTCTTGAAGCGCGCCAAGTTCGGGCATACGGGAAAACAGCTGCAGCATAAAATAGCCACAGAGGTGAGTGTGGACATATGCATTACCCTTGGGCCTGAACGATAGGAACAGCTGACTGTCATTTTTTTGGGCACAATTTTCGCCCAGCTATTGATTTTTCATGTGAAATCACACTCGGTGGGCAACACGTAATCCCCGCAGATGCGCAAATTCTGGCGGAAAACAAACAATGTGCAGAGTTTCTAAAAATAGATTTCCGAAACTAAACAAGAATAAGATATGGGGAGACTGGAAGCGATTTCGGGCACGTAGGTTATATACATAGAACTATAACCCATTTCATTCAGCCTGACAACGCTATATTTTTTAATGAAGAAGACGCCCGGCATTAGTTTAATTAGATAAATGCCAGGCACAGCGTGACTGACGCAATCTCCTGCCCTCCAGATAGCGCACACCCACTGTCCTGTCTGCCTATAGGAAAGATAAAAAAAAAAATGGTTATCTTATCGGATCTGGGATTGCGGTGCGACTACCGGCAAATTAATTGTGAAATTATCATGACAAATTTCGGGGGCTGCATAGGTGCTAATCAGGTGCAAATCAAGTGACACACTCATCCCTAATCCCCCAGAACCGCATGTGACATGTGGAACTCCCAGAAATTAGTTGTCAACAACAATAAGCATATTAAAATGTCAAAAAACCAGACGCTGGCGAGACGCTGACCGAGACATTGAAATGCCGATCGAGAGATTGGGAGAATTGGTGCTGGAAATCTGCCCCAAATTTAATCTCTCTTCGCTTGTTGATCAGCAACAAAAATCGTGGACTATAAATACCCAGACGCAGCACAAAACATAATAAATTTTCTAATACGTTGTGGTTTTTATAATTTAATCAGTAGAGCCCTTATAAAATCATTTTAAATCAGTGTAGTATCAAAAAATCCTAATCACACTCAAAAATAATATCAGTACAAATGATAATCTTTTAGAAATCATATCTGAAAATATATATGAGATAGCAAAAGAAACCAAATTTCACAGGAAATAAATGAACCACCTAGAAATGGAGTTATTCATATAAAATATTTATTTTTTAAATATCATTCTGACAGTTTGTTTAGTAATTCTATGAAAGAAGTCATTGTGATATGTAATAAATTCTACCATGTCTATGAATCATGAAAAACCTTACCCTACCTTCAAGACACCAGCGGAAATATTTCAAAAATATGTGATAAATACAAGTAAATTCAATTAATTATGAGTTATTTTCCTAACATTTCTCTGTGTGTAAACGATTCACAGAATCTTCAAGTGTAAAAGTCACGCGAAACTGTCACCCCAAAATAAATTGAGTAAACGTGAGCTTGGCAACACAAAAAAAGAACAAATAAAGCTAGTGCTGGTATTTGTCGTAGAAAAAATCGTGGGCGTCCATAAGCTATGGTGAAGATTTGTCAAGAATCCCATCGCTAGCCCAAATTGTTTTGCGGTTCTTTCGTTGCCATGGAAGAACTGAACGAACGCACATTCATAAATATTTAGCATACAACGAACTACATACATATGTACCTAAATATATGTATTAATATTTCAGCTGCCACAACACAAAAACCAAGCCCCCTTCACCACTCACATGGCGTTACCCCGGGAGAGTGCGAGAGAAAGCACCCAATTCTCTCAGTTCTTAATTATTATATTATTCTCTCTCTTCTCGCCAATTTATGAATAATATTTGCCAACTTGAGTCTGTTTCTCCGAGAAATTAGCAGCTTTATGGCAGTGAATTCTTGATATTAAATATTTCGCATTAATCATAAATGTATTCCCAAAGGAAAGCTTTAAAGGGAAAACTGGATTTAACTGAAGATAACATAACATAACATAAACAATGTATTGTTATATAAATATAAATTGTATAGATATTTGTATACTTGTAGTTAAAGATCAGCCTATGGATAAGACATTAAGGATTCAAAGGCTTGTGTTCTAAGATACAAATTCTACAATATGATGTATTGTACAATGATATACATAGGTATATAGTTCTCCCATTTCCTTCCAAATTTTTCAAATTCTTTTCTTTTTGATTATCTCGACGCTTCCGTTTAAATTGTGCGTCAACGTTTCGTCCGTCAGCTTTTTCGGATTCCAATTTGAAAGGTGCCAAAGTCCCACGCTAATGGTGACAGGCCCCTTCAACGGAAACTTGTTTGCGAAATATTTTATTCTTATTTTTTTTATTTATTTATATACCGCACCTGATCCTGTTGTTGTTGTTGTTATTGTTATTGTGCAGCTCACATGACTTTCTTTCTCTGGCTTAAATATGTATTTAATAATATGCAAATAAGCAGCAAGTGCGAAAAGTGATCAACAATGAGAGCATATTTGGGAGGCAAAGATTTACTTAGCCAGAGAAAAGAGATTTGATTTATAGAAGGAATATTGTGTGTTCACATGCAGATAACTTAATTGGGTTTATTTCCAAGGAAAGATAAAGATATAAGTATACTTGTGGAATTTTTTTATGCAATTTATTCCGAAGAAAAGTTAATCAGGAAATGTGTTTTTGCGCAGCCGTTCTGGCAGGGAAAGAAAGAAGACACCTCTTTTTAGCTGATGTCATCCTGGTAGCTAAGACAATCCAATCCAAAGGGACTTGGGACTGGCCAGGTGGACCTTCTAAGATAATTGATTAATTTCTTAAAGTTTAGCTAATCCCATTTAGGGTAACTACAAATAGAAGACCATGAGTTTTACGTATATTACAAATTATATACAAAACAAGCAGCAAGATAGCAGACTTACTTCTCAGCATGCTAATTCAAACCATCCTCGTAAGCTTCATAGAATAGTATTGCAGAGTTTTGGGGATTTGCTATTTGCAGGGGAAGACCCACCCCCATGTGGCTATAAAAGGTTCTTGTCAATGGCTTTTCTTCATTATTCCGACTTGATCCATTTGCGGAATACGTTGGATATATAGCTTTAGACCATGCTAGTACGTGATTAATAGTGGGCGCTTTGCATAACTGGGAATACGTGACTTTTATAGGGAATTTCCAAACCCATTTGATTCGATTCTTTGTCCATTTCAGAAGAAACTACGCGCTCCCCCGCTACTGAATCTAGTGTTTGCCAATCGCAAGTTGTCCTTCTATGACACCAGCTCTACGCCAAAGACCAACGAGGAAAATGCCAAGCTGTGAGTACACATATTTCAAACCAATTACTAGACTTTACATCTCCACATAGCACTCAGCACACAGCACCACACTCTCTCACCTCACACTGATCCCTAATCCAATATAGAGCACTTGCACAAATGCATCCCAGTCACTAACTGTTACATTTACAAAATATTTGCCATTTGATTGGCACCCACCTCTCCCCATGCTGCCCACCTCTGCCCACGTGGCTCAAATGGGTTGGGTCAACATGCTCCGGCCTGGTACCATGTCATCCCAGTGATCCATTTTTAGATCCCCTGCAGTTTGCACATCTATTCATAGTTCGAAAAATATTGTTTTGCAAAGTGCAGCCAAAAAGCGTTAACACACAATTAACGATCGCTGCCCAAAGTCCGAAAGGAACTTGGCAAAAATATTTTGATGGCACATTTGGGGTAAATATTTTGTGGTCGTCACCTCTTTTGTCTCAAAAAAGAGCAGGGACTCGGCCTGGGGATGAGGCTCCGAGCGAGGAGAGGTATCTGCCCTCAGAGCACGCACTAATTGCCGGCAATCGCGAGGGCATAAAAATAAATTAGCATACGTTTATTAAATGAAGATAAAAATCGAATTCGCTCAATCTGTTTCGGGTCTGCGGAAATACATACATATATAGAGACGAGTATATATGATAGTGTGTTCGATGTCTGATGTTGGCGAACTATAAAACCGTTGTCGACTCTTGGCTGCGCTCATTTCGGCGGTGACGGGCCGCAAGTTTGCACAGAGAAAAGACGGATATATCGGTTAAACTATATAGCATTATGGGCGATCGTAGTTGGAATCTGCTGCAGTATGCCACCGAAAGGGCGCCGTTGCCCCTTGACGGCTACACGGCCGAGGAGGCGGCCCAGTTCAAGGACAGCATCAGGCAGAAGATAGTAGACGACCTCAAGTCCATGACGGGGGAGGAACTGATCGAGCTGGTCAAGCAGAATGCCGCCAAAGTTGAGGAGGAGAAGACCGAAAGCCGGGGAACATCCGCCGCAACCTTATCCGGCAGTGAGGAGGGCAAGGAACGCGTCCAGGACGATGCAGATCTGATAGATGCCGGAATCATAGGCGAAATGGTGGCCGGACTCTGCACCAAGAGCCAGAAGGCTATGTTCGTCAAGGTGATAACGAAGTATATCAGGTAAATCATAAGGTGAATCAGCAGACGTGCCCACCCCAGACCCAGACATCGACGTAGCTCCTTATCGCGGAAAAGGGGTTCCGACGCCGCGTGACGTAGTTCTTATCGGAACTTTTTTTTTAGTGGTGAAAGAAGAGGTACGGTGCCCATGTGGATATGGCAGACAATGGCCATTATAAATCCTATAAAGCACTTGCTATCGAACAGTGTGCTCGTGTGTAGGTGTTTGCGTATAGGGAAAAAGGAGTTAATTAATTTATTTTATTGGCAATAACATGATTTAGAAATTAGCACATTCCGGCTCGGCTCTCTGTGGTGCCCTGCTCTCCGCTCTCCGACCGTCTATATCTACCTATCTATATATCTGTAGCTTTATATGTATCTGTATCCGATGGCTATCTAAGTGCTCCGTTCGGTGGGAGCAGCCGCAAAAGTCACACATTTGGCTAATGTATAAAACGCTGGCGCGCTTACAGTTGTTCCCATTAAACTTGCAACAGCTCAGCGCTCAAGTCAAGGCGATCCGAGCCCAGATCCAGTAGATACAGATAGAAATCAATTCCCCCAACAAATATCACGTATACGCTGCGATGGTGCAGACCGAGGAGATAGGGGCGCTGAAGCGCCAGAGCGAGGACGGGGAGGCCAAGGAGCGAGAGGAGAAGTATAGGCAGGACAAGGAGCAGGACACCACTGAGACGGCGGCCATCATCGAGGAGATCATCGAGGGCATCTCGCTGCAGAATCGTCGCGGCACCATAGTCCGTACTATTTCCGCTATAATCAGGTAAAAATAGTGCCGGAAGAGCAGGCAGTCAGGGACAGGGTCTCGTGTACTATATGGTACTATGTCTATTAGATAGTAAAAATAGATTGTGCACCACACACACACACACCCCCAACACCTCTCTCTATGCGACAGACACACCCTTCCCCACCAATCATAAACAGAAATTGCGTTGATTGACGCTCATTACACAAGAGTTTATGGTTAGCATATGGAAGTGTAACTAACGATTGCCATTCGATCATCCTGTTTCCATCCACTCTTCTAGCAATCAGCGACGCCACTATTCGATGCGGCCGTGAGTAATAGATTGATTTGCACCCCACCCCTCCTTCCTTTCCTCCTTCCAGTAGAATATTTGCGGCAGTTGCCATCTTAATCAAACCCCAAATTGGAGTTGATTGAAGTGATTTCCCCCAAATTGATAGTTGCCCAGAAATCAAGAAATCAAATCCCAATTAATCGAATCAACCGACCATGGAGGAAGATCTATTTTTAGAGACGAAACCAACTGGATCTTTGCAGTTTTTAAAGCCTGCATTGGATGTCTGTGCGCCAATTAGCACTCTTAACCCAGCGCCAGTTGGGCAAAGACAAACCCCATCCCCATTCCCATTCCCAACCCCCCCGTAGATATGTGTAGCTTGTGTATCTTCTTCTGCGAATTTTGTTTTGCTTTTCCACACACGCATGCTAAAACTCAGTCGGGGATCGCCGCTCAATTAGCAGGTGCCCTAAACCCAATTGCTTTTCTGCGGCTTCGAAACTATTCCGCTAATTGCCTTTATACTAATGGCCGATTTCTGTTGTTCATTCGCAGCCACCGGGAGCAGGAGCAGCGGAATGCCGAGGACGTGCTCTTCGATATGTTCGCCAGCGAGGAGACGGGCCTCATCTCGATGGGCAAGTTCCTCGCCGGGCTGAAGACCACTGGCATCCGGCGGAACGATCCCCGAGTTCGCGAGCTAATGGATAACCTGAAGAAAGTTCACAAACTGAATAACTACGAGACGGGCTCCTCGGCGGAGACGCAGCACCTCAACCGGGAGACCTTCAAGGCGTAAGTAAAACCTCTTAATCCTGACCGGCTTCAGAGGTAATCTTGTCTTGTGTTTAAAGCGTGGTGGCCCCCAACATTGTCCTGATTGCCAAGGCCTTCCGACAGCAGTTCGTTATTCCCGACTTCACTAGCTTCGTCAAGGACATCGAGGATATCTATAACCGCTGCAAGAGCAACACCCTGGGCAAGCTGGCCGACTATATACCCCAGCTGGCTCGCTATAGTCCCGACTTCTGGGGCGTGAGCATCTGCACTGTCGACGGGCAGCGGTACTCCATTGGCGATGTGGATGAGCCCTTTACCCTCCAGAGTTGCAGCAAGCCGCTGACCTATGCGATTGCTCTGGAGAAGCTCGGACCCAAGGTGGTGCACTCTTATGTGGGTCAGGAGCCCAGTGGCAGAATCTTCAATGAACTGGTCCTGGATCAGAACAGTAAGTGAGGCCCCCTGTTAAGGAAATCTTCATTAATATCCTTGAATTTCATTAGAGAAACCGCACAATCCCATGATCAATGCCGGTGCCATTCTAACCTGCTCCCTGATGAACGCCCTGGTCAAGCCGGACATGACCTCGGCCGAGATCTTCGACTACACCATGTCCTGGTTCAAGCGTCTCTCCGGCGGAGAGTATATCGGTTTCAACAACGCCGTATTCCTCTCGGAGCGAGAGGCTGCCGATAGGAACTACGCCCTGGGCTTCTACATGCGGGAGAACAAGTGCTTCCCCAAGCGCACGAACCTTAAGGAGGTCATGGACTACTATTTCCAGGTCTGCTCCATGGAGACCAACTGCGAGGCAATGTCCGTGATTGCCGCCAGCTTGGCCAACGGTGGCATCTGTCCCACCACCGAGGAGAAGGTGTTCCGCCCGGAGTGCGTCCGGGATGTGCTCTCCATTATGCACTCCTGCGGCACCTACGACTACTCTGGTCAGTTCGCCTTCAAGGTGGGTCTGCCAGCCAAGTCGGGCGTAAGTGGCGGCATGATGCTGGTCATCCCGAATGTGATGGGCATCTTTGCCTGGTCACCGCCCCTGGATCACCTGGGCAACACGGTGCGAGGCCTGCAGTTCTGCGAGGAGCTGGTCAATACGTTCAACTTCCATCGCTACGACAACCTGAAGCATCTGTCCAACAAGAAGGATCCGCGCAAGCACCGCTACGAGACAAAGGGCCTGTCCATTGTGAATCTGCTCTTCTCGGCGGCCAGCGGGGATGTCACAGCCCTGCGGCGCCATCGCCTCTCCGGCATGGACATCACCCTGGCTGACTACGATGGTCGCACGGCCCTGCATCTGGCCGCTTCCGAGGGCCACCTGGAGTGCGTCAAGTTCCTGCTGGAGCAGTGCCACGTTCCCCACAATCCCAAGGACCGTTGGGGCAACCTGCCGGTGGATGAGGCCGAGAACTTTGGCCACCGACACGTGGTGGAGTTCCTGACCAACTGGGCGGCCAAGGCGGATCAACCGGAAGAGTGCAAGAACGAGGCGGTGACCACCAAGACGCAAGCAGATGAGGTCAGTTCATGTTTGAATTCGAGCTCAAGTCCAGGTTCTGATTCATGTGCAAGTCCAAGTCCGAAGACGAAGATGATCCTGATCCATAAATCTTTTGGCAAGCTGAAGCTAAATTCCAATCTCACTTTTCAGGAAATCGTCAGCACCAGCGACCTGGAGACCAGTCCGGCCACCACACCCGCAGAGTCGGGCTCCAGGGCGGGATCCGGTAGGTCAAGTCCGGCGCCATCGGAGGCGGGCAGCACGGCGAGCGCTGGAAGCGGCAGCAGCGTCGATGACAAGACCAAGCCGGGCCTCTAAGAGGGCAGAGTTCCGGATGCGCAGGATCCCCCGTTGAATCTCTCCGACTAAATTATTCGCACAACACTTTAGTTTACACCTATGACGTCTTATTAGATTAAAGCTAAGAGTTCCCCAATCGTTAGTACTATATAATTTGTAGTGTCATCTGCACGAGCGGCATTTGTACTTGTACTTGTAGCGCCTAGTTAGCCTCAAATATTCCAGGGTATCCTACGAAACAATGACAATAATCTTACGAATATCCAAGCCCACACAAATGGGAAGGGGTCTGTGACCCGCCCAAGAAATGTATTGCATTCATACTTGTCAATTGATATTTGTGTGTGTTTTTAAGTGTGTTTGTAAAATGTATTAATTATCCTGTTCCAAGGAGCCGATCGATGTGCTGGCAGCCTCGGCTATAGTTGAATATACAATAATATACATAATATATATACATATATATAAATATATATAGTTAGCAGACAAACCACAAATTTTATGGCATATCTTTTATTAATGTGTTGAAGGGAGTTTAGGTTATCGGATAGAGGAGTGTATTTTTAATTCTTTCAAACTTTCATTTTAATATAACTGTGGTCTGTTTCCTTTTAAAATATATTCTCAGAAAAACTATAACCTCTGTTTGTATTTTTAATATACAAAAAAGTGACAAATTTGCAACAATATTCAATTGTCAAGATTATATGTTTCTTAAAGTCAATAAATTGATAAAAATATAAATTTAGTTAGTAAAGTTATTTAAATCAGGGAAGTTAGCTTGAAATGTTTCCCTTAAAAGAATCTCTTGGTTTTATAAATCTTGCTTTATTCTATATTATTATATTTATATTTTAGTTCTCTTTCAAATTTCATAAAACCATTTTATGTTAAAACAAAATTGATTAAGCCTTTTATATATTTTTAACAATTAGTTTGCTTAAACTCAGTTTTACTTGATATTATCTATTTACTAGCTTGATAATGCATTTTTCACCCAACTCTACTCGCATCTACAGTGTAGAAACTGTAAAAGCCGACAGCTTTTTACACCAAACCCGAAGCATCGGCTTCAGTTTTCCGACTTTGGTGGATGTCGCACGAAGTGTATGTGGATGTCGCACCGCCCCAAATCTCTTCCCCCCTGGAACTAAAGTTCCGTATTGTCGTCGTCGTGTTTTTGTGGTCGTCGTTGAACGTTGGATTTCCCAGTGCCATATAGCTTTACAGTTCAGTTCGTTCGCAGCATTCGTGGAGTTCGGACCTCAGCCAGAGCTGCTCCTCCTCTGCCATAGTCAGTGTGCGTGTGTGCCGGTCTGTTTGCGGAGTTTCACCGCATCCATCACGCTCCTCTTCACGTCCAGCTCCTCCGGAGGGATGCAGCAGATGCAGATGCAGTCGTGCAGCTCGTGCCCGGGCAGATGAATTAATTGTGGAGAATAGTTAAATTCCAGCTCGTTGAAGCGGCAACAAATCCAATTAAGCATATACACCGTTTTGCGGCGAGTTGTGCATAATTGAGTAATTAAGTTTCATAGAAAAGGGTTTTTAAAACACCGCCACCGCACACACAAACCAACGCCGCAGCAACTTGGGGTAGGTTCAGAGCGTTCGGTAAGGACCGTAAAACGAGAGTGGCAAGAACAACAGCAGCATCATCATTTCCGGATCCGCTTTTCCACTCTACAATACGAGCTTTTGTGCGATTGTGTTGGTGTTTGTGCTGGTCGCTCATAAGAGTTCATAAACCACTAAACAGAGGACAGCCTGAAATCGGATTATTAAGTCTCCTCCTTGGTCGGCAAGGCTGTCCGCAAAAAGGATGTCTCTTGTGGAGGGAACATCCTTCCCCGGAAACCGCTCCTTTTATTGACAATCTCGCTGCACAAGTCGCTGCATATCCGGGCCCTCGAAATATTCGGAGGCCCTTCTCCTTTGTGAGTGGATTTTTGGCCGCTCGCTTTGTTTGTTTGTTTTCTCCATTTGGCGCAGATACGGGCAGCGTCAGCATCTGTGGGATTGCATAATGTCCAACATCCTCTCCAGCTCCCCAGCTCTCCAGAAAAGTAGCCCACAGCGATTGCAGCTTGGGAATTGGGTCTGCAGTCGGGAAAAGCGGAGATTTAGAAACACACATTCTATTCTTGATTTTGAAAATGGGTGTCAGTTGGGAAAGATCAGATAAAGCAATCACATTTATTGAAATTTTAGTACTTAGAAGAAGTACTTGTTTTATGGAGCATATTCATCGAGAAAAATAGATTGGTTTAATTTAAACTTTTTCATAAATTTTTTAAATTTTGTATTACATTTTCTAAAAACATTATACATTGGAAGAAGTTATTGAGTTATTAAATATAAAGATATTATATAATACAGTTTATAATCTAACAAATATTTAATATTTACCTCATTATCTTGACTTCAGTTTTTAAGAATTTAGACAGAAAATAATATTTAAATCTTGGATTTACTAAGAACAACTCATTTTTTATTGAAAAATAGATCTCTCGGTGTTCTTAAAACGAAATCAATTAAGAGTACTCAACTGAAACTAAGTAAGCTTTCCTGATTCTAATCTTTATTAAACCAATCATTTCAAATCTCCATTTAAGAACATTTCGCCCTCTGCATTCCAAAAATGGAAAATAAATGACAGAGTCAGACCGATGCCAATCAAAACAGAACCGAATGCAACCACAGTGGGAAACTTGTCTCCGTCTCATTGGCTAATAATACCCCGCAGTTGGGTCCTCTATAATCAGCATAATCCAGCCGAATGGGAAGTCAACTCCCCTCCCCATCACCTCCCGTTGTAGTCCGTGGGAACTGGACACATGTGGGGGCTGCCGGGAGCTGACAGTGGGCTATGCAAACAATTCGCAGGAATATTTCCAAAGGGACAAGGGTTTGGGGTTACTGGTTGACCGAGCAAAAGGAAGTCGGCTTCGGCATCAGCCAATGCCAGGCATTGATGTGTCCATCAAGTGTCGCCGTGTCCGTCTCTGTCTCCGCCTTGGGTTCAATGAACTGCCGGAGGAACTAGAACGTCCGATAATAATTGATTGGGCGATAAATGGGAATAAGAGATGGGGGAAAGAACCCCCACACATCACACATCGAAAGTATCTAAAGTATTTTGAAGTATCTGGGAGCTGGAGCTGGAGTATCTGCAACTTGACAGGGACATGGTGAATCGGAAATTGGCGCTCTCCCATTCTGCAGAACGCATTCGGACGTGTGATGAGCCAATTTCACACATGGCAGAGGCGGAAAGAAGTGCTCGTAAAGAGCCAAACCCAAACAGAGTGCGAGCCAAGTGCATTGCCCCGGACTTCAGTTGACGCTGCACTTTTGCCACCTTATGCTGCAGTCAGTCGCCAAAAATAAAAGCCGAAAGCCAAAAGCCATTTCCACTTCCCATCTTCCACTTCCCCCAGATATATGAGAGGCGGCTTCCCCGCTCATTATGTTTGGGGGAAAGAACATGGGCCCCCATCCCGACTCTCCCATTCCCATTCCCATTCTCTGTTCAAATACAAAATGCACACATGCAGACGTAATGAAAACTGGCATATAGCGGCGCCGCTATTCATCACCAGATGGGATTTACACCCTCTCCGGGTTCCCGAGGAGGAGCCCGACTCCTGATGCTTTGCTCTGCTGTTGTTCTCTCTATTAAAATGCCACATTTAAATGCCGAGCCTCATAAATGTTTCCCTCTCATCCACCCACACCGGCAGCCAAAGGAACAGCGGCATCAAAATTGATTGCTTTCGCATGGACACGAACTCGGTGAGCCCGCTGCCACCGATGGAGGAGGCTATGGACAGGGTCAGCGAGAAGTCACCGCCAGGAACACCCAATGGCATTGAGATGCCGCCGCCGCCTGATGAAAAGTGAGTTAAGATAATCCAGAAACTACAGAGCTATGTGTTCTACGATTTATTTATATTTATCAGGGGTTTTTATTTGGGGTTAAAAGTGATAATGTTAGGCCATTATTTCGTTTCTGAAACATGTATAAAAATAATCTGTAATTACTAGATGGCTTTATGGGATTTAGGAAGTATATGGAGGAGTTTAAATGATTATATAATTCTGTTTTGTATTGAATCAAGATATGTATGTTAGAGATTACCCGAAAAATAATCACAACAATATAATTACTCTTAGTTGGAAAACAAAATATGAAGAGAATTTAAGTAATAGATTAAGCAATTCTTTCTATACATCTCTATACATTTAGAAAATAAATTTTTTAGCGGCAACCCTTTTAAAGCTTTATTTAAATTAATTTTGACATCTTCTTTATTTCGGAAATATATATATTTAAATTATGATTTCCTTGTAGAAAACTAATCAAACCATTGAAAGAGTAGAATATTTTATCAGAAACAATTAGAGTGTTTTGAGTAAATTTATATAATCAAAATTTTGTTTTAATTGCAAAAAACTCCAAACTCTGGTTGTGATTTAATTTTAATTTTCCCAATCAATCCCCTGACTGCCCCAACAACATCAACTAATCAACACAATTTAGTCAGCAGCTATTCCCCAACACATTTCTGTTTATCAATATTTAAGTAAATTGTGTCACTTAGGCATGCTAAATTCGAGGCAGTCCAGGCACAGACACAGACCCATTTCCCCGGTGGCCAATTTGGAGCTCTCTCTGTCTCTCGTCTAGCCGGCAATTGGCCTTGCCCATCTTCGCTTTGCTCAGAAACTGCCAGCTCAAGTCTTGGATAGTTCCCGAGATATGAAGAGACTCGGTTGCGCATCCGTAGGTTGTCTTTAATCGATTTTAATGGCACCACGCGGCGTATGAGTAACATTTACATGGAATAGGAAATAGGAATGGGAATAGGACCTGGGCACGTTAGAAAAGGCTAATTAACAATGGGAGGAAAACCGGGAAAAGCGTCGACGCCTACACACCCTTTGGGAGGAGGAGTGAGGAGTACTGACCGCTGTTTCGTGGTTATTTTTACGCGCCAATTTCCTAATTCACGTATCTTTGAAAGTCGTAAATTTTATTTTAATGCGACCTCGTCGCAAATCACACAAAACCATCCTCTATGTACATCCGCCGTGGTCGGAGGCCATACATTCAACAGTTGATCGCGTGAGGCCTTCACATAGTAACTGGCCGTAAACATTCCGTCCGTAATCCTTCCACGTCCTTGTCCAATTCCTGGCACGCAGCTCGCCCAGTACTAACCCGCCAAGCTCCAAGTAATTACGGGTATTTTTCTTTGTTTGCCGACAACGACGACTCAACCTTTTCGCCGCCTCGTTTTCATTTCATTTTCATTTGGTTTTCATTTGATTTCCAGTAATTTTTGGGCGCGTTGCCCGTCGCAAAACCCACTGGAGCCCAAGGAAAATAGAGCTGGAATAATGACCCAAAAGTCCCTGCCAGGGTGTGTTTGTTGTCGTCGGCGAGTCCTGAGAGTGGGAGTCGGAGTCGGGCAGGATATATATATATATGGTGTGCCGGTAATTGGTGACCCAGTACTCTGCCACGAATTAGCGGAAGCCTCAGGTTCCATAAATATTCGATTGATGTCAGGCTGCACTCTCTGCCCTGGCAGGTGTTTTTTGATTGATACGACTTATTTATTATTTACTTA